GCTCTTGAATCGACCACCACCTGCACTTCGTCCAGAAATACCACCAGCAACGGCAGAATTACCAGTGAACAAAATCCCTCCAACAAAAGCAGAAGTTCTGAACGCCGCACCATAAAGTTGCTGAAATGCGGCATCAGGACCAGATGGAATCCCGCCAGAAGCACTGAGAGCAGACGCAGACAACAGCGGACATGCTCACACCACTATTGCAGAAGGTCTGGAAGGAAGGGAAGATACCTCCCGATTGGAAGAACGGATACCTTGTCAAACTCCCAAACAAGGGAAACGTCAGTCTTTGCAAGAACTGGCACGGAATAATGCTCCTGCCCACCCCAAGCAAAGTATTATGCCGCATCATCCTGGAGAGACTAAAGGATGCGCTGGATTCAAAATTACGACCGGAATAGGCTGGGTTCAGGAGTTACAAATCATATGCGGACCAAATTGCAACGTACGCATCATCATAGAACATAGAACAGCAGTCAACTCTCTACTTCTCATCTCCTTTTAAATCTGGGCAGCCTTGCTATGCTCGCACATGGTGCGGACATTCCATGTCCACATGTTTACTTCAGCTTTCATTGAGAAAAGACACATCGGCCAATTGTCTTCCCGAAGGCTTTCACCAACTGGAGTCATTTCATGTTCCTGATTCCAGCGAGGAATAAGTTTGTTTTTGTTTTTTGTATTTTGTCTGTGCTTTGAAGTTTCTGTAGCTTTTGGATTGGTTTTCCGTGGTAAGGTTGCTAGCCCTATGCACAACCTTACCTGTTTGTCCGGGCTTAGGACCGGCTAGTGACTAGGGAACTAGTTAACCAGGTGAGGTTATGCAGTGGATAGTATCTTCACTTTATTAGCTACTACGAGTTAAAGTTCCATTTTCACAAGATTAAGTAACTTGGTTAATCAAATAAACTGACTGAAGAAATTCAGTTCATATAGAGATACCTACTCGCAGAGGTAAATAGATGAAGTGAAAAAGGGGAAGAGTAGAAGCAAGTAGACTCGATAACTACAAGAAGAAACCTATATATCTCCGTTTGACTTTCAAGAGGGTCGAACAGAACAGTATACGAACTGCACTTAAAATCTCTCTCCCAGAAGTTGAAATTAGTCTCCGTATGGAACAGTGGAAAGTTGACAGGTTTCCAGCTTATGTCAACCTCAAATTGTATTCACTAAATCACGTTTACTTGTTAGATCGCGTGCATCCGAAGGACGAAGAGGAGGAAGAAGACTCGATTTTGTGAACAGATTAAGCCCAAATAGACGGATCGTCTTCAAATGGTGCATTTCTAAAGAACTTATGGATACTACTGAACAGAATGCTCAGATCTTGGGTGCACTTAAAGTAGGTAACAAATCGTTATCTGAAGAATGAAATGGAACCTCTGTGTTCACGACGAAGGCGGCCTCCAACTCCCATGATAGCCATTGATTTATTTCATTATCCAGTATGAACCCTTCTGAAATATTTTCATTTTTTCATTACAACCTACCTACTTGGGCAGCACCGTCTCAACTATAGACAGAGGCGGTGGCACCAATGAAGATGCCGAAGCCAGGATCGGACAGACAGCAAGACAGGGCTTCATTAATCTGAAATCATTGTGGAGATCTACTGCACTGCACTACACTGCATTCAGTAAAAAGAACAAGATCCGGATTTTCAACACTAAGTCAGTCAAGTGAGTCAGTGCTTCTATGTGATGGTTGAGAGACTTGGAGCGTTACGAAAAGCGTTTCCATAAACTATAGACATACATGAACAGCTGCCATCTGCACTCGATACCGGAGATCAGATGAGAAGGCGAGAAAGAATAAGCGAGGAGGAAGTGTGGCCTGGTAACGAACCGATTAGGCAACAACCTATCGCCCAACAAATATGCATAGGAACAAAGTGTAGATTGTTTGGATTAGGTACACTGAGAAGGAGGACCTTTTGGGGATATCACGCGCCAGGTCAGGCCATCGAGTGGAACCCAAAAGGGGAAACGATAAGTTGGACGTCTGAGGGTGATATGAAGGAGGTGTGAGGATGAATTCAAAGCTTCTGGGCAGTTATGGAGTCAGGTTGAAAAGACTGCAGAGTGGAATAGTGATGTGCTTCTGAGGCTCTAGGTTCCACTAGGAATCCAAGGGACTGATAATACTAATGATAATAATAATAATAATTACAACCGACTTTACAATCAATTTATGTTTTATCACCATGCGTTTACCAACTGATGCCAACTGATTTGACCTTACCACATACACTTGCATAGTCTTTTCGATGAGTTATATGTGACAAAATCACAGTCTGAGTGTGTTTTAGTGTGGGGTGACTTTGATTTCTGTATTCCCACGGCTGATGACACTTGGACGTTTTTAATGTGTATCATTTCCTTCGATAGCTTTCATCAATCAAATATCTATCCATCTAGGAATTATTGAGCTATGTTGATTGTATTTCCCTGCATATTTCTTATAATTTGTACGGTCTGTACACAGTTGAAATACGGAAAGCTCAATATGTTCTCCATCTTAAGTTGTTCTTGGTTTGTTAGAATTCATCCTATTTCCTTGATAGAAATTGACATACAATCGGGAATAATGTCGGAATTTGAAATTGGTTACTTTAGTGTTTACCGAATGAGTAATCGCTGAATGTGTTGACATCATGATTGGCATGCTGGTGGGATGAAATGCATAGAGTGGCCTTGATATTTTCTTTCCACCTATCTTCATAGGGGCTGGACTTTTCTATTGTTCAAAGGCTTGTATATTTCGTATGTTAGACATCATTTAGGTGATTTATAAGGTCTTGGTTGGATTTTGTTCTCTGAGCTGGGTTGTTTAATAGCGAAGCTTTCGTCATTTTTCTTCTAGGCACCTTTATCAGCACTAAATTCAGTATGAAGTGAGCTGTCAATATCTTTCCGTGAGTGACTTAGTAGCTCGCCCTGACCAACTGGTTTTTGATAGGTTGTTTCTTTTGATTGTTGTATCATTGACTGATTACATAGATTTTCTTGTTGGGTGTTCTGCTTAACTTCCGACCTTTCCGTTGTTTACCGTTTTTCTTATTGGTTGATAGATTGGGTCTGTTTATTTATCTGTTGATTGCTGACTGACTGACGTGAATACCAAGCTGCTAGGAATTATCTGATATCCTTTGTGCTTCCTCTCTCCATCGGAGATTTCTACATTCTCAAAATTGAATTCATTTCCATACTTATCCACGTGCATTGAAATGAGTATCATTTGACTATCTGAAATAGCCGTAGTTTGGCAGACTAGTATTTATACTAGGTGATGATTGAAGGTGAGATGAAAATCTGGACCACAGCCTGATTCGAACCAGAGACCACCGGGTTATCGGCTCTCTACTCGAACACTTGTGGGCATGTTAGAGCCTATGGCAAGTTGTCCAGGGAGCTATACTCATCGAGTGGTGTCCGTCAAGGATGCCCACTATCTCCATTCTTATTTAATTTTATCATAGATATTCTTATGGAGGTCTCCCTCTCGTCACCAGGTTACACAGACGTTGACCCAATCATAGGTGAATTTTCTTTAGATCTAGAATGTGCAGATGACATAGTCCTGTCAGGTGAAGACGCTGACAAGATGCAGAGTCTTCTGAACACTTTGAGAATGTTTGGGATGCGATTTTCACCACCCAAATGAAAATTTTTGCTCCAGGATTGGTCTTCAACGGTGCCCCCACCTCGGCTAACAATAGAGAGTGAAGTGGTTGAGTGTGTTAACCACTTCACTTAGCTGAGAAGTAGGATCAACCGTGGTGGGTTAGTTGCCGATGAGATCTCTGCACGGATACAAAAGGCTCGATTGGTTTTTGCCAATTTACGCCACCTATGGCGCCGCCGTGATATCCGTTTGTCTATAAAGAGTGGTGTGTACTGCACAGCAGTCCGGTTTGTTCTACTGTATGGCTGTGAAACATGGCCATTGAAAGTGGAAGATATGAGAAGGCTTCAAGTGTTTGACCACCATTGCCTTTGTAGTATAAGCCGTATTCCGTGGTGTCACCATGTGAGTAATGCAGAAGTCAGGAGTAGAGTTTTGGGCAGCAGAGGAAAAATGTTTGATGTGGTTGTGAACCTTTATCGACAGAGATGGTTGGGACATGGACTACGTATGCTTAGTCCTTGATTGCTTTGTCAAACAATGTTGACCGAAGTAGGTTAAGGCTGGAAAAAGGCCCGAGGTTGCCAGACTAAAACATGTCACCAATGTATGAAGTCGTTGACCGTTGTTTTGAGCCATGAAAACAATGGAGACTAGGTGTTTGTGGTCGATGGGACAAGAGAAACTAGTGGATGGAAACTGACTCTAGGTGATATGCCTCACAACCGAAGTCAGTGGTGCAGATATATACACATATTATCTTCATCTTAACGCTATACCGAATCTCACCATTTTGTCATTCTTTATTCCTTTCTTCTCGTACTTTATACTTCTCTTGACTGCATTCACTTATCATCATCCTTCACCTCACTACCTTTCTACTTGATAAGGTGACGTGAGGTGTGGCAACTCGAACCGTTACGCAGTAATGCCTGGTACTATGTTGATAATGATGGATTGATTGATATCGGCTCGATGCCCTACCAACTGAGCTACGAGGTTCGACTCCTGACCAGAATTTTATTTCACTTCAATCACGAAGGATTTCGCCCGACCATCATGTGAATTCGTGATGCGTTACTACCACTTGATCGTATGCATACTGTCTGCCTAGTTGGTGTGACTAGTGAAAAGTTGGAAGCATTGAGTCTAGATGTTTTGGCGATGAACCTTCATGGTTGTATTTCGAGTTCACTTGAAGACCTTAAAGTTTCTCAACGATCAAACTATCAATGAATCATCAGATTGATATTTAGTGGTCTGAATACTTCTAATTGTGTCAATTTTTTCAAGTATATGATAATTTCAAGTAAGTGAAATTCATTTATCTCTAACCTCTTTTTGTATGCCTTTTTCATTATTTAAAGATTTTTCAAGCTGCACGTCCAATGAAAAGAATCAAACAAGTTCAAACCGATCAACTTATAAAAAAACTTTTACCCTCTGAGAATATCATCAACATTTCACCGTTCTCTACAACTGTAAATCATTCACTAGTAAGTTTTGAAGTTATACATTTATATACTGGATGATGAATGAAGGTGAGAGGAAAATTTGGACTGCGGCTGAATTCAAACCACTGACCATCGGGTTTCATGCCTGATGCTCTACCAAGTCAGTTACGAGTTCCGACTGCTGACCAGATTTTTTTTCATTTCACTTCAGTCACCATGAGTTTTGCCCAACGACTTCCATGTGAATTTGTGATGCGTTACTACCGCTTAATCGTACTCACACTGGCTGCCCGCAGTCAGGACTTCTCATCCCAATCCAAATCTAAATGAATTGGAGAGGTGGAGAGCATCATATTGACTACCTGAGATAGCAGCTGTGGTTTGGCAGGGTAGTATTGATACTGCGTAATGATTGTAGGTGAAATGAAGATTTGGACGGCGGCCGGATTTGAACCAGCGACCACCGGGTTTCCGGGCCGGTACTCTATACCTACTGAGCTATGAGGTTCAACTGCTGACCAGATTTTTATTTTTATATAAATATTTATAAAAAGGATAAATTGTCTCATTGAAATGAAAGAAGAAAGATTTCTACGAACTAGTTTCTTTTTTAGTCTATAACTTTGTGAAGATTGACTGATTTCGAAGGTATAGCTTAGGTAAACGTGTCATGAATGCGCAGGGCTGAGTCCTGTATGAAGACGAAACGCCTGCTAAGGGCTCCAAAATTTTCAATGCTTTCTCAACTGATATCGCTTAGTTCATGATGAATACTACGTTGGAAGTAAAAATCCACATAGATAATTCAGTAGCTTGACATTAAAACATCTGGTTACCAGTGGATACGGTTGCCGTTGTCATTTAGCGGGAGATAGGTACATCCAGTTGACAAAACGCATGCCCTAGATTTCGCTACTTGCCTCTATTCATCATTCATATATTCCAGAACTGAAAATACAGGAAACCATTTGCTAATTGTGGCCGATCGATTCTATTCAGTCAATGTTGGAAGTTTTTTCAAGCTATATGTGTTTCGATAAGCTATTCTGGTAACGTGAGCTTTGTTTCTTATTGGTTGATATTATGGAGTCAATATTATTATGTCCCTTGATAAAGCTGAGTGCCATGTTTCTAAAACTTCTTTATCAGTCTTTGTATTTTCTATCTCAAGGATTTCTACATTTTCCCACTTGAATTCATGTCAGAAATAGACAATATCAACGTAGAACCTTGTACATACAAGTGCATTAGGTGAAGTTGCTACATTTCACAGTAGTATACAAAGATTAGTTGGATAGAAAAAGACTCATATCAAAGTGGACAAAGTTGTATGAGAGAAGAAACAGTCCAAAAATAACGGTTAGTGCAGATATTCAAACTTTCAAAGACTGAATATATCTTCTCCATTGTGACCAATTTATATGATTCTGAACCATTAGTTCCTATCGTCTCAGAGACTTCACTTAGGCAGTCTACATCTCTCAACACGTCTCCAGCCAGTAGAAAGAGACTTAAAAGACTGATGCCACGTCTTAGTTTGATCACTCTGAACCCCCTTCCAACCTAATCCCGTGGCTTTGGTATCCGCAGTACAGTCGATGAAGATTCACAACTCCATCAATCGATTTCCCTGTCTTGTTCAGTATCCTTCGCCTGACTTCAACATTTCTCACACGGTGATTCCACTATACGCAAGCAATACTGCGAAGACATCTGTGATCGCTTCATAACTTCTACTTTCAACGGCTATATCTCATAGCTGTACAACAGAACAGAACGGATAACAGTACAGATAGCCGGATATCTCAACGGCGCCACAGGTAACATGAGTTAGCAATTGCCAAATGGGGTTTCTGTGAAGTATCGACACATTTTACCACTTCACTCCGTATCATTGAACTGGGAGTACTTGCAGTAGACCAGTCCTGAAGCCAAACATACTCAGATTTCTGCTCAACACCTTGTTTTCAATACCCTGCATAACATTAAGACAGTGTCATCTGCGTACTCTAAATTAATCAAATAACCTTCAGAGAGTAGATCAATCCTTGTAACACAGACGTACGTTAGGTTATATCCACTAGTATATCAATAACAACGTTAAACAGGTATAGTGAGAGTAAGCATACTTGCAAATGTCTATATGTATTGATATTAGTGACGATATATCACAAAGCTTTACTGTTAGTTGATGTTCTTATAGGTGGATACAAAAAGAGCGACCATTCTGACGATATTGACTTGACATTTTTACCAATAGATTCGTACGCTTACTGATTCGGTGAATATAGATGTCCACCTTTTGATAATGATACTGTTGGAAACAAATTCGTTCGCTAAAGTCATTTTTTCATTGGCGATTTAGTTTCGAGGTTTGCGGAGTATGATTAACTTCAGGTTGGCTTTCATCATATTCTAAAACCATCCGGAGAGCTATTGAACACGTCAGAATACCGTGGATCTTTTTCGTCCTAGTGTAGAACACCGCAGCAAATGCATGCCCATGACCCCTCACCAGGGATCGAACCCAAGGTTTTTAAGTCTCGTGGTGATTGCATTACAATCCAGTCACTAATTGATACATTAACTGACTGAATATACCTTTATATATCATATCTATCACAGTTGGACACTTCTTCTGGACACTTTGAGTAGCAATTTGAGAATATTTAGGATACGTTTCTCACCATTCAAATGTAAGTTGTCGCTCTGGGACTGGTCTTCACTGGTGCTTCAGTGGTTTAGGGCGATGATCCTACCGAGATTTACCCAACCGAGCAGGTTAACTAGCTTTCATACAATGGGTGTGTTGCTGACTGCCCACTTCATAGATTCGCACAGGGTTGGTGAGTGCGTTTCTCACACCAGCTAACAAAAGAGAATGAACGAGATTGACTGAGTTGAGCACTTCACTTACGTGGGAAGTTGGGTCAGCCCTGGTGGATCTGCACGGATACAAAAGGCTCCGTCGGCTTTTGGTAAATCATGCCATCTATGGCCCCGTCACAATATCCGATTGTCTATTAAGGGTTGAGTGTACTGCGCTGCAGTTCGCTCTGTTCCACTCTACGACCGTGAAACATAGATATTAAAGGTAGAAGATCTGAGATGGCTTCAGATGTTTGACCACCGCTACCTTCGTAGCATAGGCCCTGTTTCGTGGTGCCATCACGTGATTAACGCAAAAGTTAGACGCAGGGTTTTAGGCAGCAGGGGTAAAATATTTCATACGGTTGTGAACCTTCATCGACTGAGATGGCTAGTTGCCTCGGCACATAATGTTGGCCAAAGTAGGTTTAGGCTAGAGAAAGCCTTTTGATTTCAACCATGTAAGGCGATGCGGACTAGTCGATTGGGGTCCACAGGACAAGAGAGGCCTAGTGGTTGGAGACCCTAAATGATATGGCTCACAACCAATGTCAGAGCTGGAAATAATCTTCATATTAACCAATATACTCAATCTCATCATTTTCTCAATCCTCTTCCCTCTGTTTTACCACTTTCTACTTCTTTTAACCGATTTTACTTTCCTTCTTCATCTTCCACTTTATTGCCTTGTTATTTGATATGTTTGATGTGAGATATGGCTGGCAATTTGAACTGTTACGCAGTGACACCTAGTCTTATGTTGATCTTGATGATACCCATCAGTGGACATTTTGAACTAAGGTCATTTAGATTGCATAATAATTGATTTTCTGCAATGAATGTAATTGTTAATTATAACATGGCATTTATGTGTTGTCTATGAATTCTTACAAACCTTTGAGTGGAGACTATTGTTATCAAATGCTTTCAACCTGACCTCTGTATACAGAAGGTGAGTGTGATCAATCTCTCACTTCCATGTTTCATTTTAATTAAGTAATAATAATAATGAAAAGGTTAAAGTGTACTCAGAAAGCCGCATACAGTACATAATGAACCATACTTGATGTATGAGAAGTGTCGATAAGACTTAGTTGCCTAAAATTAATAGGTAATTGGAGGGGAGGTTTGCTGATGTATGGACGACTAGTTGAAATTGGTCAACCCTCGACCAATCATCAACAACCCCATGAATCTGTTAATGAGGAGGGATCTGTAGTGACTTTGATGCTTTAGAATATCTCGAAGTAGGCCTTTGTTTGACTATCCAAGTTACCATGGTTTGGAAAAATTCTTTTTTATCTCTCTCTCTCTCTCTTTCCCTTCAACAGATCAACATTCAACCAAATAAATTTGTTCAAGTAAGATATATTTCAATCAATGTTGATAATTTACAAGTTTTTATTTTTAATTGGTTCAGACTCCTCAGCAGTGCGCACCCATGACACCACCCTGTCAGAAATCGGACCCAGGACGCTCAGGTTCCGTAGCGCCGGCACGTTAACATTGAGCAACTTAGTCGAAATCGAATTGTCTATATTTCCAAATTCTTCAATCAGTTCACGACATAGCGCAATCATCACCTAATGTCATCGTTAAGTAGTTGTTTTCACGGCCACCAGGTTTGTCTTCGAACTGATATCAGTCCATGATGGTTACCAACTTGAAATCAATGAATGAACCCTCAAGTTGAATTAATCTAGTGCTTATTGGTGACTATCTTCGAGAGATGGATGATTCCTGAAGTTCCAATGTGAAGTCAGGACCGGTGAAGCAAACATGGTGGACTTCAGTTCAAATACTCAACGATGAAATTGGATGATCATCGTACTATGTCGTGAGCTGATAGAAGAAGTAGGAAATATGGACCATCAGATTCTGACCGAGTGGCTTAATGGTAACGTACTGGTCATGGGACTTGAACGCCTTGGGTTTGGTCCCTGGAAGGGCGGGGTCATGTTTGCTCACTGTTGAGTCCCATACTGAGACGAAACAGCAATCCAGTCCTCATAGGTTTCCAATGCTCCTCCAACTGATGTCAGTCAGTCCATGATGAATACCGATACCATTAAACCTGTCAAATCGTATTGAACAAAATCTGTTGAAAAAGTTTCTAATATATTGGTCTCCAACAAGCTAATTGACTAGAAAGTTTGTGGTGGACTAGAATTTAGTGTCATAAGTCAATAAGTGGGAATTTTTGGATTGACAGTTTCTGCTTGTTGGGACACAGTTGCTTACCAAACATCTTTTCAGTATGCTTCAATCATTAACAGCTCTATTTTAGTGCATAAACCATTGGACGGATAGGCATAAATCATCATCGATTATTCATCAGATTCCCGTAAACTTTTCAGAAGGTATCGGCCTCCGAATCCTCTTTCAAACTGTAAAAGTTGCGGTAATCGGGACTAAACAAACCGAGTTATGTGTTGTGATAAGTTAAACCTTGCCAATACAACTATTTTGGCCTTATTCAGGATTTACAAATTATGTAGGATACTACTGCGTTTAATCTAGTTTTCATATTCCATACTGTAGATATCTCCTTCATCTACATAATCTGAAGTAATCTGAATACATTCTCTTAGACTGTTTTGTTGTTCCCTAACCTGAGTAACATTGTACCCTCGAATTATCTTTTTTTGTTGATTGTATTCCACATAAAAGCATACTGTCCGATTTTTTTTCAATTAAACTCTAACCTTATACATTATTATACTATTATTATTATTTTTCCCTTGGGTTCCTAGTGGAACATAAAGCTTCAGTAGCACGTCACCATTTCATTCTGCTCTCTGGAGTCTTTTCATCCCGGATCCACGACTACCCACAAGCTTTCATTTCCTCCTCATATCATCTTCTCCGTGTCACTCTCGGGTGCCTAACTCGTCGTTTCCTCTTTGGGTTCCACTCGAAGGCCTTGGTCTGGCCTGAGGCGTGATGTCCCTAAATGGTGAGATTTGGTATAGCGTTAAGATGAAGATAATGTGTGTATACATCTGCACCACTGACATCGGTTGTGAGCCATATCACCTAGAGTCAGTCTCCAACCACTGTTTTCTCTTGTGTTGGGGACCCCAGTCGGCCAGTCTGCATCGCTGCACGTGGCTCAAACCAACAGTGAACGATTTCATGCATTGGTGCTATGTTTTAATTTGGCCTCCCCGACCCATTTTCTAGCGGAACCTACTTCGATGAACATTGTGCGACGAAGCAGACCCAACAAGATATACTCAACACATGTCCCAGCTAGCCAACTAGTCAGCCGTCTCAGTCGATGAAGGTTCACAACTGCATCAAATAAATATTTTACCTCTACTGCCTAAAACTCTATGTCTGACTTCTGCGTTAATCATGTGGTGACACCACGGAATACGGCCTATGCTACGAAGGTAGTGTTGGTGAAACACCTGAATTCTTCTCATGTCTTCCATCTTCAATGGTCATGTTTCACAGTCGCAGAGTAGAACAGAGCAAACTGTAGCACAGTACACTCGACCCTTAATAGACAATTGGATATGAGGGCGGTGCCACAGGTGGCGTGAGTTGGCAAAAGTCTTCATGAAATGATGTCATCCCTTAGTTTGGTCATCATGAACCCCTTTCAACGTAGTTGTCGAGTTTAGGCAGTGGTTCAGCATACACAACACGTGTTCAAGTCAATTCAGTCGATGAAGATTCACTGCCTTATTGCTTGATTCGTCTTCCTTACCTAGTATCCTTCACCTAATAATAATACCTCAATAGATGATAATTGATATGATGAGAACTTTTCAAGGTCATACTGCCGTTGAACGAAAGCCAAGTTCCCCCCCCCCCAATTGTTTTATATATATTTACTATCCTTTCAAAATTTAATAAAACAGTTGGGAAATTTTTAGCCTAGCGGTGTATAATCCATTTAGCCTTGAGGATTAAAACTGTTTATACTTTGAAGAACAGAAAAAAACGAACAAATTTATCAGTGAATCAGAATAATGATAGAAATTACTTAAATTATCGATCCTTTTTTCTCACAGTTTACACTGACTCATTTTGGGCGTTAACTGTCTCTTTAGCCTAATAAAGAGGAATGCAGGCCGTGGTGGTGGTGCGACAAACCACCATCACATGTGTGGAACAATTCAGTTAGAATTTTAATGCTTTTTTTTATATAAAAAAACAATACTGTTCTTTGTTATTTCCTCCCAGCCGTAGTTTGTCTACAACAGCTAATTAGATCACAGGTGACTTTAAAGCCCATCCTAGTCCTAACTGCTGAGATAACTAGTTATATTTCTTCATTTTAAAAATAACTACCTTCCTCAGCAGAAATACTGAAAGCTGATTGGTCATCTCAGCAGTTGCTAGCGTGGCCTTTAAAGTCAAGCTAGCTTATTGTCTAGACACGAATATTCAATGTGGTTGTTGCCTTAGCAATACTTAACTTTGTAAAGTTTACTGGTTAGTAAAAAAAAAGTTAGTTGGAGGAACACTGGAAGCACTGGACATCTGTTTCGTTCTAGTATGGGACTCCTCAGCAGTGCGCACTCATGACCCGCCTCGCTAGGGACCGAACCCAGGACCTTCAGGTTCCGCGACCTCTGAGTCGGAATTCAGTGGTACATACTTCCTACTTCTTCTGTCAGTTCGCGACATAGCGCAATGATCATCCAATGTCATTGTTGTGGATTTAACCTCATGTCCATCATGTTTGCCCCACCGGTCACGATTTTACATTGGAACTTCAGGAATCACCTCTCGAGTATATAGGTCAGGTTGAAAATGTTTGATAGCGAGCGCTTCTGCAAACCGTTATAAACATAGTGTTCTATGTTTGTTGATTATCCTGAAGGATTGAGAAATATCTATTTGATGTCCTGTTTTCATTAGACGCCTGGTGATTGCACTTTTAAAGACTTTTCCCCCATTCCGATACAGATTTCTCGGAATATGTTCATAAATTTGAGTAGACACTCTTCTTTCAGTCCGTCTTATGTACTTGCTTCCACAAGCACAGGTGAAGTGATATACGTAGTTGGAGGTGACGTGAGATGGGTCTGCTTGTCTACTTTTGACTATGTTATTCAGCATAACCTATTGTAAACTGAGAGCAGTCTGGTAGCAAAGAAGCTCCTTCTCAGTGCAGCTTTCATTCTTCTGTCTATTCTTTCAGATGTCTCATCACCTTTGAACGCTAAGCAAAGGAAAATAGGCTTCTTCTCAGCAGTAGGATGTTTCGGTCTCTCAATGAGTTCTTTTCCATGCTTCATGATGAATTTCTTCGGGTATCCATTCGCTATAAGAGCCTTTTCAATTATCTTTAATTCTTCTTCTTCTTGTTTATCTTTAGAGCACAGCCTTTTTATTCTAGTGAATAGCGTCCTGATTAAACCACGCTTATAGCTGACAGGACAAAAGTTATTGTAGTGAAGGTACTGACTAATCCACGTGTCTTTTCTATGGATAACTTTCTCAACCTTACCATTACACCTCTATCTTATACTTAGATCCAAAAATTAAATCTGTCCTAATTTTCATATTCCATTGTAAAACTAATATTTGGACGAGCTTGATTGGAGGTGTCAAACAACTTTGACATGCATGATTCATACGATCATGAACAATGGAAGTATCACCGACAAACCTAAAGTAATGTGTTGTTTCCTTGGTCGCAGCATTAGGACTTGTTTGCCCGAGATGACCCATGAATATATCAGCTAGTATAGGTCCTAATAGTGAATCCATAGCCACTCCATTAGTTTGCCAGTATAGTGTTCATTATTAAACTGGAATTGAACACCTTTTGTACAGAAGAGTAGTGATTGTTTGAGTTGTGTTTTCGGCAATTGTAGTAGATTAGACTGTTGACAGATTGTGTCTATCGTTTCGTCTACTGGTATGTTCGTAAACAATGAGAACACATCAAATGATACCATGAATTTATCTGAAATATGTAATCTACCCACTTCTTCAAAGAATTCGAATATATCCTTCAAGCTGGGATTTACGAGTGCTTTTTTAATAGGTTCATTTTTCTTTGTTAACTACTGAACCAATTTGTGACAAGGTGAATTTATCATAGAGAAAAATGAGTTCCAAAGGAACACTTGACTTATGGATTTTTAGAAGGCCATACATGAAAGGTAGTTGTAAACTTCTCGGTTTAAGTTACATCAATCAATCGCTTCTTCAAAAGTTCTCTCAGATGCTTAAGTTACTTTGTTTTCAATTGAAAGTGTCGCCTATTTTTAGGATTTATCAACTATGAATCTCAACGAACCCCGAAAAAAAATCATCAGCATTTTATGCAAGTAGTCATTTTTATTCATTATGACAATACTAGACCTCTTATCATCTCTAGTTATAACAAACTCAAGATTTTTGCGCAGCTTTTTCAGCATCAACCTATGCTGCTTAGTCAAAATCTTTGACTACTGGTATGGAGATATGCAGAAAAGTTTATTCTCCTAGCTTTTAGATGTCTTCGAATGTAGGTCATTTCTGAAAAAAATCACCTTTTGACCCAGTGGTTAGCCATGGAAGCTGAAGGTCCTGCGTTCGATCCCTAGCGGGATGGGGTGGAGTCATTGGTGCGCACTAGTGAGAAGTTCCATACTAGGACGAAATGGCTGTCTAGTGTTTCCAGGTTCCCAATGTTCCTCCAACTTATGCCAGTCAGTTCATGGTGAGTACCAACTTGAAAAACCACGAAATCTACATGACCACTACTTATATACAATTGAGTAGTTAAATTCCAAGCATGCTAAAATACTGCCTGTGACATTCGAGCCCGTGACACCTAGTGTTGTGTTCAGAGACGTTACCGCTGAGCTATTCGGTCCGCGACTGACTTCCTGTAGGACTGGACTACGCGCATTGGTTGGTCACTGCAGAGCAACCAACCTCATTTTGTCTAGTCGTGAGTGCCTAGGGATTCCTGTGAATTGCCTCCAACCAACTAACGTCCATACGTCAAAGTGCTCTGCGATGGTGAACTGCCTGGCCTGGTGACCACATTTCACAAAATCGTCAATAGGATTCAGTTAGATCACTCAAGACTCTCTCCAGGGATCAGGCAATACATATTTTAAGGTTAATATGTTGGCCGAACTTTTGATGTGTTACTGCAGATCTTACGCTTAACCGAAACCTATTTCATACGGTAAGTCACTTAACTGAGAATCAACACTGTTCCGCTTCATCCTGAAAGTTTCATATGGAAAAGGCTTTTGAACTAGAAATACTTTCTGCAGTTACAATAATGCATGGCTTTTCTGGATGGAGGTGATATGGCAGCTAACATAATGGTTGTTAAGCAAACGTATTTTCGGCATTTTCATTGCTAATTGACAGTTTCATCATCAATCACAGAACACGTGGTTTGAATAGCTTAAACAACAGTCTGAGGACGGACGGTTAAATCAGTTATGATATGAACAGCGTATTCATTAGGTCGCTGACTTGGCCACTGGGTACTACAGACTTAAACAACAAGGGAGCACCAGTTCGTTCTTAATTGCAGAAACATCTTTCCACTAAGCGCCAATAACATAACAAACCTAGTTCCAGAGGTAAACTATCTTACAAACCCGATTGCTATATGCTTGATGTTAGTTGGATGGAGGAAATTGGTAGGTAACTCTGGTCGACACAGATCTCGTGCTTTGTAGCACCCGTTGGCAAGGTGGTGTCTGTAACTTTGACGGAATTAATAATCCACCTCTCTTCTGTATAACCGAATCACATACTACATACATAAACCATTGCAAAACATGGCAAATAGTTCAGTTTCGTATAAGACAAACCCTAGTCAACATGACCACCAAGTGGAATGCTGAATGACTGAAGGCAAACTTGATATCTGGTAGACAGTTATGTTTGTCTCATAGATAACGAGTCGACAGAATCCCCTATCACAGACTGTTTAGTTACCATAACCCTTATAAAAGTAATTAATCATTACTAATTATATTTTAAACTGGTCCAAATGGTTACTTTCTTTCTTTCTTTCGCCTATATTTTCAGATAGCTAAACCAATGGTTCGAAAAAGATAAGAAAGCAGATGTCTTAGATAAATATACATGGGTAAAGAATCATTGAAAATAGAATTGCTTTGTTTATTCCCTACCGTCACCCCATTTCTGTTGAGACAATCATTTCATCAATTCACGCTTGACTAATTCACTTTTTTATTATTTTATTCACGTATAGAAATGTTCAAATGTTTTACTAATTGAAACATTGATTTCTGTATAATTTTTCATTATACAATTGAATATTGATATTGAGTTGTTGTTTTTAAGATAAATTTTTATGAATGTTATAAAATTTTCATTGTATACATTAATGAAAATGATTGGAATTGAGTAGAAAAGTCTTGTTCATATTCGAACAGTTAAAATGATGATTAAGTCATTGGTATAAGAGATTTTTTATATGATACAGTCGTTGATTGGACCGAATTGATCTGTCTCTGTTGGTATACGGGCTCCTGTGCGGATGCGTCGATATTGCCAGCAATCTAATTACGTTAATGATGGATCGTGGCTAGCAGTGAAATCTAGAATGCGTATTTCGTCCTATTTGGGACTAACCAGTCAGCTGGATGTATCTGCTTCCCAGTGATTGATGTTGTTCCCATCGGGATTCGGAAACGATCGCTTCAAACGCCAGCGCGTTATCCACTACACCATCGAGCCACGATAGCCACTTCTTGTGTGACGGGTATAGTTTTTAGTATAAGGGTTTTTTATATGATACCGTCGCTCCCGAGTCCGAATTACAGTGGGAACAACATCACCCACTGGGAAGCAGGTACATCCAGCTGACTGGTGAGTCCCAAATAGGACGAAATGCGCATCCTGGATTCCACTGCTAGCCACGATCCATCATTAACATGATTAAGTCATTGGTTTATGGAGTTAACTTTCAACCAATAGGTTCTTTTCCATTAGATGTGTTTTTTTTTTGTGTCACTCGAGTACTAATAAGATAACGAGATTACGAATAGGCATCGGTTTGTCTCATGATCCTTCCTAATCCTTACAGAACTGTTCAGTGATTCCTACTATACAACTTAATGGTACGTATATATCATGTAGTTCACAAGAGCTGGTCATTGAGTCCCCTGAATTTTGAAGATTCAATATTATGGTCAACTGAGGTCAATTTAACAACCACACCCAAGTCAAATAAACGTGTCTCAGAGACACAGCATACATGCATAGCTAGAGATTCCAGGGTTTTGGCGAGCGATGCTTGCTATCCGATTTGGCATGCAGTTCGAACGTTGAAAGCTCTCACATGAAATCAATAGTGAGAATAGGAATGAAGATTCCATGACTTTAATCGTTCGCAATGGTCTCAGAATGAGAGGTTAGGTAAGGTGTAAGAGGTGTAGTATTGGTATCCGGAGGTGAGGGGCACAATTGAGGAGGATAGGAAGTGTTTGATTGGGTCTCGTGTACTATTGAAAGCTTTCAGGCAGCTGACACCTCTCGGCTGACCACACTGTGGAAGGCTATTTTTTCTGAAGATATCTGAAAGAGAAAAAGATTTGTGTGACAGCAGGGCCCATGGGATATCTGCTTGAGTATGAAGTAAATAAGAAGGTTTCATATGACTGATTAAGAGCCATGTCAAAGCCTTTCACACTTGATCGTCAGGGTTTCATTATCAAGCATCCTGAAATCATCAGTGTTTCCTTCATAAACAAGTCTCTTCTAAATGAAGTTAGTACTGATGATATCACCAAACTTAGTGATGAAAAGTATGCGAGAAAATGTCAAAGTTCGGAGGAGATCAACCTGAGCTACAGATCTCCGTCTTCAGATGAGTGTAAGACTTGAGCACTGTGGTAGTATGCGACGTTCCATATTAGATCTGTGATACAGCATTAGTTACTGGATAACGTTTCGAGCATAAATTATGCTCATACTCGCATTAATGTAATCACATAACCTTCGACATCAAAGTCTTATAGTCCTATCACCTCATATTCTTTGCTCTTCCTGGTAGCAATCCTCTAACTAAGATATGGTGGTGATATGCGGATGATACACTCACTGTGTTGTAATCGAAATATATCTACAGCTTTCTCAAACATATAAACTCAATAGTAGTCCCAATAAAATTCACTTACGAGGAGGGAGAAAATGAATAAGGAGAATTACCTATGTTGGATTGCAGAGTAAAACGAAGGACAGATGGTGGTTTGGATACTACCGTCTACAGGTAACCGACACGTTTCAACAAGCATCTAGACTTCAAGTCATCTCATCTAAATGATAGAGTTACAAAACTCATAAGTTAGTTCAAAGAACTGAAGCACATGAAAGAAGCTGTAATAATGAATAAGTGTGTCGTCTACAAGTTCATCAGGAAACTCTTATGGACATAAGAAACGAACACAAGTGGTAACGACAACACGAGTAAAAAGGAGTTCATAGCCTCCATTCTGTTTCCCTATGAGGAAGGAATATCATAAACGTTAGGTAGGATTCTCAAAAAAACTGGAATTAGGGTGGCACTTAGTTCTACAAACTCAGAGATAACCTTTGTCGGTTGGCTTAAGGATTCGATAGAACCAATCAAGCAAAATAATCTAATCTATCAAATTCCATGCAATGACTGTAAGGTCAAGTAAATAGGTGGAACTAGACGGTCACAGTCAGTTAGATTTTCGGAATTGGGAATTTAGTCAAATATAGAATGACAGACCCCAATAACATCAGTAATATAGAAAGCCACTCGGTTATTGCAATGCATAAGGGAGCACACAACCGCAGAATAGGGTGGGTGGGATAAAACCACTGTACTTAATTAAGTCCAGTATAATTAGGTGAAGAGAAAGACTACTGAATCTTTGTTCATCGAATCAACACTTACCCACCACATATAATAAGGATGACGCAACACCCACGCATATCAAAGATACGAAAAGCTTCACTACCAATAAAAGCTACGAACATGAGGTGATAGGACTATAAAAGTCAGAAGTCGTGTGAAGTGGTGTGATTACACATTGATGTGAATATGAGCAGTAATGATTTATGCTCGAAATGTTGTCAAGTAAATAGTTAATACTATCACGCACTATGTCCTATATATGAAACAAACAAATCTAACATGAACTAACTTCTCTATCTTCGCTGAAGCTGTGACTACATCTCAGTAGATTACTGGAAGCGAAGTGCTTCTTAGTTAACTCACACTACAGAAGATGGCGTATGTGGGTACAATCAACCAAAATGAAAATCATTTTAGATATAAACTGCTACCATCTGTTGTCAGTCGACTGCAGTTACCTTCAAACTGGTAAATATCGATCATTGGAGTTTATACTGGTAGCAATGTATTTCACGTAGAATATCTGTTGTAAACTCGATTTCGATGAGTTAGGTGTTCCTGTGAATTTAAAGGCTGAGAATCAAAAAAATGTACAACTCAATGTAAAGTTGAACTCGAAATATAAAAAAAATAAGTATATCTTAATCGACTTAGGTACTTAGATAGTATGTGTTGTAGAACTCTACACCACTTTTCATTACACTGCAAAGATATCCGATTGCCTAGTAAGGGTCAAATATGCTGCATAACATTTTGCTGTGAAATATGATCAAGAAACACAGGAGATGTGAGAAGACTACAGACATTTAATCACTATTACCTTCTCAATCTTGTCTGTGTATCTTGGAGATACCATATTAATGGCACACAGGTTACGTGTACATCGGCTACTATAATGTGTTTAGTTGACTGAGGTACAATTATGATATGAAAAACATAAAATCAGTGGATGACGTCACTGGTTGTTAGTCTTACTTAATCAAATTTAGAATCCGCATAACAATCAAAGTCTATGCTTGAAGACTAAGTGCATACAACAGCTGGAAACCGAACCCAGTGGCGTAGATGTCAACACATATATTCAGACTAATCATCATACAACATTTCAATATTTCGTTTAAGCCTCTCTTCTTGCTCTCTTACATCCAATGTTGGCGTTTACTAACTGATAATTATTGGAATGTATACACCATCACAGTGCATATTTTAATTGGTGTAGAAATCATGCAAGCACTTCATCGATGAAAGCTTCAACAGCTTCCAATGAAATAAGACTGTTTGAGCGAGCCAAGGAATAGATTCCTTTTTAACTAGATCTTCGTCTTCGGCTCTACACTAATAGATATGGGGATTTCCAATTCAATCAAAATACCAATCATATAGTGGCGGGTCAGTGAACAATAATCATAGAGATGTTAAGTAAGCCATGAAGATAATAAATATTAGAAATTAACATACAAATAATCAATAGAGTAATTGAAATTGGTAATATGCGGAGTAGATCATTCAAAGGGCAAACGAAATGATTTTTAATGAGTGTTCAGTCATAAACAGTAAATAATAATTACGTAACACTAAGGAAACAAATGAATATTGATAGAAATGAGGGAGATGGCGAGAGAGGTGTACAAAATAATACTATAAGCTACATTATGTTGTGACGGCCAAGGTAATGAAACTGGTCGAACACCCTTCTTTTGAATACGAAATTTAGGTTTGTAAAGGTGGATTGCAATCGCCTCTATTGTGTGAAGTAAGCGAATGCATAATCCATATATGTGGTAAATTAATTGGAATATAGTGGATAATTTTGAAAGCTTTTCTAGTATCGACTTGATGTCTCGAGCTTTTTATTGTTCTAATTTGTTCCTTGTTCGACTATGATGGGTGATGCTCAGAAATTCAACGATCGACCTGCCCTATTGTACGCCTAACGTAACCAACATAGAAATGGCAGAATCAGGCAATTTGTCTTTATTTCTTTCATCTAGAATCACGCGGTCGTAGAAGATAGGACTGTTGGTTTAAGCCATGTAGGACGATGCAGACTAGGTGGTTGGGGTCCACGGGATAAGAGGAACCAGTGGTTGGAGACCCCAGGTGATATGGCTCAGAACCGATGTCAGTGGCGCAGATGTATACACACATCATCCTCATCTTAACAACGCTATACCGAATCTCACCATTTTGTCACTACTCTTTTCTTTCTTCTCGTACTTTATATTTCTTTTGACTGCATTCACTTATCTTCATCCTTCACCTCACTACCTTTTTACTTGATGAACTGACGTGAGGTGTGGCAACTCGGACCGTTACGCAGTAATACCTGGTCCTATGTTGATAATGACGAATTTAGCAGCTAGGAATGCTTTTTGCAAGGATCTTTTTATGCGTAATATGATGATGTCACTGGCAAAGTCACTCTTAAATTTCAGCCTCAAGAATATTTGCTTCTTAGGAACTGTTGGCGTTCTTGTCCTAACATTCATTTGCTTAGTTATAAACCCATCATGGTTGAGCAAGAGACAAATTAGAACAATAAACAGCTCCATACTTGCACATCTAGCTGACACGGGATGTCAAGTAGATACTAGAAAAGCTTTCAAAATGATTCGTCAGATTCCAATTAATTTACCACATACATGGATTACGCATTCGCTTACTTCACACAACAGAGGCGATTGTAATCCACCTTTACAAATCTAACCTTTATTATTTTCAAAAGAAGTTTGTTCGATCACTTTCATTACCGTAGCCGTCAACATGATATAATTTCGAGTAGTACTTTGTACACCTCTCCCACCATCTCCCTTGTTTCTATCGATACTCATCTGGTTTCTTAATATTAGGTAATCACATTGTTATGACTGAATACTCGTCAAGAATTACTCCATTTACCTAAGAATAACCTGCCAATTTTGATTACTTTATTGATGATTTGCATTTTTATTTCTAAAACTTATCATTTTCATGACTTTGATTATTGTTCACTAACCCCCCCCACCACTTGATTGGTATTTTGATTGAGTTATAAACCTAAATGTTAGTGCACAGCCGAAGTCAAAGACCTAATTGAAAAGGAATATATTCTTTTACTCAGTCAGTCTTTTTTCTAAATGTCTAAATAGGAATATTCCAATGAAATGCCTTACACGAAATTACACGGTGATTATAGCCATATTCTCAGAGAGAGAGGTTAGTCTCCCCAAGGATCTTATTGATACAAGTGATTGCATAACCGCCCTGTCAAGTACCATCAACATATTAAGCATTCCCAATTCTTCATGTCCTTACTATCAATATAAGGTGATTTATCTTATGAAAATTATAACAGAATTAAGTGTACATTATGTAATAATTGACTTGGTGGGTAACAGTGGAATCCAGGACGTATGTTTCGTTTTATTTGAGCCTGACTTTCCTCAGCTGGATATACAACTGGACCCCAGTAAATGACTATTCAAGGAGTACTGAAGGAGCTCAGTTACCAATAGACGTTGAACAATCCGATCCAGTAAGCCAACATGAAATTACAACTGAAAGTACTTTGTACACACTCATACTTTGTAGGAACATTTCAACAAAGATCGTTCTTCTTCAAACTCAGCATAAAGTTGAAGTCATCCAGTAAGTAATACAACGTTCATTTATTAACATCTCAACAGAAGTATGAACAGCATACATGATTAAAAGCATTTATTCTTACAATGATATATACAATTCAAGGGTGGAAATGCACGTTTCCTCCGAATAGATTTGCCCCTGAACTACTTTTTAAACAAAAAAAATACTCAAAGGTAACATTATTGCAAAAAGTAGTTTTCATTTGGCATTCGGTTTCCAGTAGTCAATTAGTGTTTCCTACAATGCATAAAATCTCAAGTTTATTGCTGCGAACAAAAATCGAATAAAAACTCATACTACTTACTAAATGATAAGTAGTGCGAATTATTTTGCAAAAAATATATGCAACGTTTTCTCTTCATGTGGTAGAACCACTAAGCGTAAACACACCGAGTTAGGATTTTTATTAGGTTTTCAATTCAAATTCATTTTCAAGGTGTAAGTAGTCTTCCATCATGAAACGAAATCATTCATAGACGCGTTGAAGACATTGGCTCAAGGAACAGCTACAGATGTTTTCTCAAATTTTACTGATCTGTATTGCCCGTACCTTCGTGACTAATTTGGCTAGAGATACTGGTATTATTTGCTACTTGTAATCTAACCTGCTAGCGGGTAGGTCCCTATACCGACTCATTATGCTGTAACCAGCAATCAGATCCAGGACGAACGTTCCTTCCTATTTAGGACTCGCCAGCAGGATGTACATACACCCCAGTGAGTGATTTTGTTCCCAATGAGACTCGAAAACAATATTCATCTCATCAAACGCCACTTTGATGATCTTTCTCCATTACTATTATACACAGATAATAACAACTTGGTAAAACTCTCAGTGAATTACACCAGAAAAGTTGCTCAACGAGTGTGTATATAAAATTGGTGAAGAGGGAGAGGCAGGATTACTTCATTTTGGGCGAAGTAGAAAAGAATTCATTGAAAAAGGCAGAATTGATTCCAAAAGGTCGAGTGTATGTTTTGACCAAGCAACTTTCTAGGTGCAAATAACGAACATTCTAACAAAAACTAGAAATAAAACTAAAATTTAACAAGCTAAGTAAAATAAAGTTGTACTGAATATTGGCGAGTATTGAGGCATTCGCATATGAGCTAGTCTTCAAACGAACGTTGAGTAATTCGACTCTGCATATCAATCGAAGAAATTACAAGTATCACTACAACAACTCATAATCATTACACAGGAGGTGATTCTCACGCCCCAGTGGCAAAGTGGATAACGCGTTGGCGTTTGAAACGATCAGCGCTGGATTCAAGTCCACTCAGTGGGAAGAACACCACTCACTGGAATGCACGTGGATATTCAGTTGACAAGTGAGTCAGTCCTGAATAATACGAAACATGTATCCATATAGGAACCAATCTAGCATTAGAAGTCAACCAACGAGAAATTACAAGTGCCATACGATAATGAAGTCGATTCCAATTAATCTAGTGTCAATTCGTGAATAGCTTCGAGAGGGGTGACTTCTGAAGTTCCAATGTAAAGTCGTGACCGGTGGGGCAAACATGATGGACATGAGGTTAAATACACAACAATGACATTGGATGATCATTGCGCTATGTCGCGAACTGACAGAAGAAGTAGGAAGTATGTACCACTGAGCTCCGACTCAGAGGCCGCGGAACCTGAAGGTCCAGGGTTCGGTCCCTAGCGAGGCGAGGTCATGAGTGCGCACTGCTGAGGAGTCCCATACTAGAACGAAACAGGTGTCCAGTGCTTCCAGGTTTCTAATGTTCCTCCAACTGATGCCAGTCAGTCCATGGTGAATACCAACTTGAAATCAAATGTACAAGAAGTTGCTACCGTGCCTCCATGGCGTGGTGGTTAACGCCTTGGCGTTTGAAATGATGAGTAAGAGGATCGAGCTTCAGTGGGAACGACATCACTCACTGAGGTGCTTATACATCCAGTTAACGAGCTCCACATAGGACGAGATGTGCGTCCTAAATTCTTCTGCAAACAACTAATAAAATTACCATAATTAACATTCAGGTAATAACGAGGCACTCGCATAGGAGCCTGTATGCGATTCAATAAAACAACGGAGAATTATGAGCATATCAACAAATAGTAACAATTAATAACTCTTCACAAACATCCATATGGAGATAATGAAGTCGTTGAAGAAACTACCTTTTCCCTACACATTCAGAACCCCAAAGTGTTTCGTAAACAGATTAAAGCTGTGTCACCATCCGGTTCTTGAATGCCAATATGCGAATAAGTGCTGGATCAAGGTTTCAATTAATCTAGCCTGAATAACTAGTTCACTAGTTACTAGCCGGTCTGAAGCTCGGATAAACAGGGAAGGTTGGGCATAGGGCTAGCAACCGTACCCCCTAAAACCAATCCAACCGTTGCAGAAACTGCAAAGCACAGAAAAAAATATAAAAAACAAAAACGAACTTATTCCTCGCTGGAATCGGGGGAACGAAATGACGCCAGTTGGTGAAAGCCTTCGGGAAGACAACTGGCCGATGTGTCTTCTCTCAATGAAAGCGGAATAAAACATGTGGACATGGAATGTCCGCACCATGTGTGAACTTAGCAAGGTTGCCCAGATTGCAAAAGAGATGAGAAGGTATACTATCACCCATGATCTTCCTGATTGCGGTCGACTGGATCATGCAGCAAACAGTGAGGAGCGAGAAGAGGAGCATATGCTTGGCCGGAGAAAAGATCCTAGAAGATTTAAATTTCGCCGATGACGAGTCTAATGTCACACAAACTTGAAGATCTGCAGGCGAAAACTAACAAGTTGACCGGAGAGGCAGGGCAGCGAATATAGGACTTCAAGTGAACGTAGAGAAGACAAAGGGGATGATGATACCCAACCAACACCACCACCATCACCACCAACACCACCAATAACAAGCTCCAATCACCATCAATGGGAGAAACTTAAAGGAAGTAGACTCTTTCACCCACCTCAGCAGGGCAGAATCGTTCCGACTACAGGCGGCATAGACAAGGACGTCAAAGCAGCCAGGACTGGAAAGACAGCAGGACAGGCGTTCATTAACCTGAAACCAGTGTGGAGATCTTCTGCACTGCACTCAGCATAAAACGTGAACAAGATCCGGATTTTCAACACTAATGTCAAGTCAAGTAAGTACTGCTATGTGATGGTTGAGAGACAGACTTGACGCGTTACAAAAGGCGTTTCGAATAAACTACAGATGTTCATCAACAGCTGCCTACACTGGCTCCATACTGAAACTCAGATGGTTAGAAAGAATGAGCAACAAGGAACTCTGGGAACGAACCAACAAAGCAATAACCTATCGCTGAACTAATATGCACTGGAAGGAAGTGGAGATGGATTGGGCATACACTGAGAAGCCGACTTGGGACATCAGGCAGCAGGCCCGCGAGTGGAACCCAAATGGGAAGCGACGAGTTGGGCGTCCGAAGTGAAGGTGACATGGAGGAGATTGTGCGAGGAAGAAATGAGAGCTTATGGGCAGTCGTGAAGCCAGGTTCAACAGACTGTAGAGGACAGAGTGGTATGGGGACGTGCTACTGAAGCCGTATGTTCCACTAGGAACCCAAGGGACAAATAATAATAAGGTCTCAATTATCCCTTGTTTCAACATAATGCACTCACACACACACACACAATAAGAAATGTTTGGCACCAAGTAAGTAGCTGGTTGAGGCTGAGTATGATGATCGATTATAACGTATTTATTAACTAGAGTCTTGTACTCATTTTCTCCATCATATAGTATCAGTTTATTTATTATCTATCTATCTAGTGGCTGATTTATGCACACAAATTAGTTCTACAGCAGTAGTAAAGTTAGTGAGTAGCGCAAGTTGAACTCGGTTAACGACCAACTATCTTAGAATGCAGAGTTTTTTTACCACCTAAGTAATTCCATAAACTCAAAACAAACATACGTTGAATCTATTGAAATATCATGTTGTCTCGCATCGATATAAAAATGCAGAACTGCAGTAATTCTTACATAATTTTCAATATGACTTATTAGCAGTTGGGCAACTATGAGGAGCGAAAGAAGAACTAGATAGAACTCTCATTTCCACACCATTAATTCAAAACCACAAAGAATCCAGTAGACAATGTTCTTCAACCTGTTGGAGTTAGTTTCGATTTGCCTCGTGACTTTCAGCAGTTCTTTCTCAATCAAGTTGATCACTAATTCATTAATTGAGATGACTATCAGTTTTACAACTAAGTCACAATACAAGAAGAATATTTCAACAACAAAAATAATTATACAGATTTATTCGAGAAATTGTTACTCACTTTAATGGTTGTTTTCGAACAGCTTCCCATGGATTGTTTGCATACACGTCTATCGATGGAAGACATACTCGACAAAGTATTACGCGCTATTTAAAATGTGTCGATGAAGAAAAACAATGATATATATATATATATATATATATATATATATATATATATATATATATATTGGTTAGTGGAGGAAATATTGATAAATTGTGCAACTTATCTTTTCGACTATTTGGCAGACTAGGTAATGATTTAAGGTGAAATGGAAATTTGGACTGCTGAAGAACTCTAACCAGCGACCACTGAGATCTTAGCCCGGTGCTCTACTAACTGATCTACGAGGTTAAACTGTTGACTAGATTTTCATTTCACTTCATTCACCAAGAGTTTTGTCCGACTACCATGTGAATTTGTAGTGCGTTACGACCGCTTGAATGTAAGCACTCACACTAGCTGCCTAGCTGGGACTTCGCATCATATTGATTATCGTTTTGACTATCTAAACCACGGTCGCTATCTCAGATAGTCAATACGATATTTCCCACCTTTCTAATTCGGTTAGATTTGGGTGAGAAGTTCTGACTGCAGACAGCCAGTGTGACTACGTATAACCAAGCGGTAGTAACGTGTCACGAATTCACACAGTAGTCAGGCAAAACCATTAGTGATTGAATCGAAATAAATGAAAATCTGATCAGCAATCAGACAGGAAACCCTGTGGTCACTGGTTCGAATCCAGCCGCGGTCTAAATTCTGATATTAATCATGACTAATGGAGTTCGAGATGTGCATTTCGTCGTATTAGGAACTAAATGGTCAGCTGGATAAACTTGGACCGACCGCCTAAAACGCCTATGCGTTATCCACCAAATCACGATAACAGAAATGTGTTTATTAACAGATTCGAAAGGCTGAGCATCTATAAGTTTGGGTAGTGCATTCTTTTTGGCTAATTAACCATATTTGTTAAGTTTACGGATCCTTAGGTATGAATTGTAGAGTTTCATTTAAGAGTACACAAATCAACTTCTAAAATGGCTATAGCAACAGATCAAATCGTGGCAATAAATATCCACATTTGCTTACAGCCAAAACATATCATAGTGTATGACCTCTTTTGTGTATTCAATAACAATATGTTAATGACATTAAACTCCACTTGGTAGGTCAGGTCAATCTATGATTTGACCCTTTAGTATATCGATTATTTGTGAAACACATTTATCCTATGTTATTGTCATCACTTGTTCGCGTTTACGCTTTGTGTGATGTTACTCTTATTTCTCTTTTGATACCACCAGTCCCAAACTACTTACTAGTATTTAGTAGTATAACTCATGTTTTCCTATAATGTTACTTTAATCGTACTGTGTTCATCGTTCAACGTATCTTTCTCGGCTCATGACAGTGTTGGGATCCGTTTGATTCACTGATACTCTATCTTGCCTTGAACATTTGTTTATCTCGTATTTTTACTGCATCGTGAGAACATATGTGCGTTTTTTATATTCGACAGCTGTTCGCTTTGGACACAAACATATTGTTTCTACCGTTGACGCACGTTCAGCCAGGTGATGCTTCGACAGCAACCCCGATTTATTATTCACTACTTTTTATTCATAAAGAATCGTATTTAAGACAAATCCTGTGTTTTGGACTTAACGCGAAACTCAGGTATTTAGGCTTATTGTTGGCGAATCGCTTCGATTCAGAATTTCTTGGATAGATATTCACAGTTATGTTTCATATAAACATGCATAAAAAGTTAGTGTTTGTGACCAGATTGTTTGGAATGTATTGCACTAATACATCACATGTTCTCGATAAACTACGTCTATCAATCTTTTTTCAAATGTGGCTTGGGCAGCGATTGGTTACGATGTCAGTCCCCAAGAGTGGCGAGTAGTCTTAGATGTAATTTATCCCAGACTGACAACTTAAAAATTGGAGCAAATTCAAGCGCACATCAAGTAGACAGGGTTGTTTTATGTTCTCTAGCATCTAGTAAATAGATTTGATAGGCAGGTTACTCGTGAATGGTATGGAGGACGCCTTGATACAATATGTTTCTAGGAGAACACATTTTGCTTCCAGCTGAGGTTGTTCACTGTTGGACTCCATCTCATCATATTATCACATGGGAATTTTTGATAGACCTAGCATACTCAGATGATATAGTCCTGTTAGGTGAGGACAATGACAAGATGCAGAGTCTTCTAGAAACCTTGAGCAGCAATTTGAGGATGTTTGGGATGCGTACATCGCCAGACGAATGCAAATAGTTGCTTCAGCACTGGCCTTCGACGATATCCCGACTAACAATAGAGAGTAAAGTGGTTGACAACGTTGAACACTTTACTTACCTAGGAAGTCGGATCATCCGTGGTCTGTTGGTCAGTGGCGCTGGCCGACGAAATCTCTACACAGATGCAAAAGGCTCGGTTGGCCTTCACCAACCTACGCCGTCCACGGCACCACTGCGATATCTGAATGTCTGTTAAGGATCGAGTGTACTGTGATGCAGTTTTCTCTGTTCTACTGTATGACTGTGAAACATAGGCAGTAAAGTTAGGAGACATGAGGAGGCTTCAGGTGTTTGACCGCAGCTGCGTTCGTAGCATAGGTCGTGTTTCGTGGCGTCACCGCGTCAGTAACGTAGAAGTCAGGTGTAGAGTTTTCGGGAAGAGAGGTAAGTCAGTTGACGTGTTACGTATGTCTGCCTAGCCACCGTCCACCTCATCCCACAGTGTTGGCTGGAGTAGGTTCAAGGGCGACCAGACTGAAATATGGCGTCAATGCATGAAGTAGTTGGCTGTTGGTTTGAGCCATGGAGGGGGATTCAGACTAGCTGGTTCAGGTCCTCGAGACAAAAGGAACCAGTGGTTGGAAAGTCTAGGTGACATGGCTCAGAATCGATGTCAGTTGCTCAGATGTCTCCACACACACACACACACACACACACACACACACACACACACACACACACACACACACACACACACACACACACACACACACACACACAATCCTCGTCTTAACCCCAATAATCAATCTCGTCATCTCATTCACTTCTTTATTATTTTCTACTTCTACTTCCTTTGATCGATTTTTCTTTCTTTCTTCATCTCCCATTTTATTTCTTTTATACTTGTTCTGCTGATGTGAGATATGGCAAGTTGGACCGTTACGGAGTAAATACCTAGCTCTATGTTGATCTTGACTATAATGATGACCTAGAGACTGAAAAGACGCTGTTATCAGCTCAGTCTACAAAACTGAGCTAAGACAGTCACGAACGATCTTCCGATTAACCTGACCATTATACTCGTCAAGCTTTTAAAAAGGAACCCATGAATCTTCTCCTCCAAGAGAAAAATGCACAGTATTCGCTGATGTAAATACACTCATGGATGTGGTATTCATCGATCTCAGTAAGGTCTTCGATAAAGTCTGGTATTTAGAGCTGCTAGCGAAGTTGCAGACTTTTAGGATCGTATAGAAAGTGAGGTACTGAATTAAGATTTCCATACATAGCTAACAAAATAGCATTCTCGTGAAGAATACTGAAGATTGATGTAACACATGCCACAATGTTTGGCTCTCCTCTTCCTACCCTATTTCAACACACTACTGGTAAAAGTTAAGTCACCTTGTTTTAATGCTTGCAGATAACATTAAGCTTTGGTAGCCACATCAAGACCCGGCACTAATCCATGAAGTCTCTGACTGCTGGTCTGAGTCATATGAAGTAATTTAGACTATCTGGTTGAGGTCCTCGAGACCGTAGGGATCAATGGTTGAGGAATCTTGGTGATATGGCTGAAAATCAGTCTCTGTGAGACATACAGCCTATGGAAAGTTTCTTTTCACTTAATAGATGAGTTTGAACAAGGAGGTTCTTGCAATAGCATGATTTGTGTTCACAATGTGTTCAATTATAGCACTTCTTATCGCTCCACTATTACCTCTCTGTAACTACACAGCATAGTGTTTGTCAACCCTTTTGGACTATGGTCGCATCCAACGACCTACATACCTGGCTCCACAAGAGCAGGTGAATTGATATATGCACATAGAGGGGGTCAAATGTGTAAGTTTCTTCTTTGATTTACTAGAAATCGTTGGGCAACAAGAGAATTCTAGCCTCAGCGTTGATGCAAAGAATGTTCTCCTTAAAGCGTTTGATATCCTCCTGTTTAGAGTGTTAGTGGCAGAATCATCTTTGAAGTTTAGATTCATACAGAATGTCTGTTTTGGTACGGTGGTCAGGTACTCCTTGCGAAGTTTAGGCTTGATGTGTTTGTCTATGAAGCGTGATGGGAATCCGTCTTTTCAATCAGGATGTTCTTGAGAACAGAAACTTACTCTTCTAACACATTGGTACTGCAGATTCGTCTAATGCGAGTGGCAAGAAATATGTTCAGACTTCTCTTACAACTCACAGAGACCGAGCTATTAGAGTTCATCAGTTGACCATTCCATATTAGTATTGTGTCAATTGACTTGCTTAACGTTTCATCAGCTGTACTTGTCAGCTCTTTATCAAGAAAGTGAATTTTCGATCGATTTTCGACCTCTAGAGTGAATCTAACTGCTGAATGGCGGTTATTGAACATTTGTAGAACATGGTTTGAATCATATTGCTGATTATAGATAATATTGAAGTATCGTTCATTTACCTTTTGTACTGTTGAAAACCTTCAGTCGTTAATTTCAAGGGTCCATTCTCCAAACTGGCGAGAAAGTAGTAGTAGCTAGTAGTAGACCTAGTTGGGATCCCATGAAGATTCCATCTTTCTGTCTAGAAATCACGTTGTTAAATGTGAACGGAACGTTAAGTGTGAATCTAAGCAACAATTTTTTAAGGCAGGAGGTAGGTATTTCAACATTGATGTTGTTATCTTCTATGCATCTCCATAAGAATGAGACAGTTTTACAATTTATTGTATGCGTAACCAGAAAGAATGATTGCCATAACCAATTATTAATTATGAATGTCTTTCATGCGTCTATCTTAATTTTCATTGTTGCACATTCTGATCTGGTTGTGGAATCAACTCGTACTCAGAGTATAATAATAATAATAATAATTCTTGGCACTATGGTCGGTCGTCTCCTTCAATCCATCAACTCAGCGATATAATATAATTCAACTACTCGACTGGAATCCGATGATCCACTATACATCGCGAATTGACAAAAGTAAGAAATAATGGATCATTTGATCTTATACCAGCAGTTGGATAAGGACGCAGCTCTTGACTCGATTCCTCAAGAGGTACATCGGTGTACAATCCTAGAAGACCCGAGTCTAAGACGAAACATCTGTTCAGTGCTATTACATTATCAATGGCTTACTGTCTGATATCAATCCGTAAAAGAAAGCTCTTTGTTAGACTTCGTATCAAAGACTTTACACAATGGTGCCACGTTTAAGTCTGGCCGTCTTGAGCCCTTTTCTAAACTGAACTTACTTTAGCTAACGTTATGCAATGACGTGGATGGTGAATAGGCCTGCGTAACACTAAGCTAGCCATCGGAGTCCATATGGGTTCACAACTGCATTAATTGACTTTTCTCTCTTGTCTAAACGTCTACCACACCTAGAACTTTTGCGATACTCACATGATGACATCACAACTTACAGTCTGTTCTAGGAATGCAGAGGTGGTCAAACACCATAAGTCTTCTCATAATCTCTACCTTTAATGATCATAACTGTCAGCCATAGAGTAGAAAGGTTTCATGATTATCTTTAAATTTGTGAATTAATTTCAGTGAATTAATCTAAAACCATCAAAGTGGTGATAATGAAGCTCGTTAACTGAATATGTCTGAACCCCGGTGAGTGTTGTTCCCAAGACCATCATATTACAAGCGACATCATATAAAAAGCATCTGTCATACAGGGAATGGACGAGTGAATGGTGTTTAAATCAACCGATCCCAGCCATCGTGGCAACAATATAGCTCACACAGGAAGGCAGGTACATCCAACTGATGAGTCTCAAGTTACCATTACTACCATTACTCTAAAGTCTATATACCAATAGTGGTCGAATCGATTCGGTTCAATCGACGAAGGGAGATTATATAAGCCATTGAAAGGAAAACAGGTTGCCGCCTAATATCTCCGATGATCTTCCTAAATGCGGTCGGCTGTACTGGACTAAATCGAGCAACAAAACGTGAGTAGTGACAAGATATGTACCTGGTGTTTGACCGATGAAAAAATCCTAGAAGATTTCGACTTCGTCCATAATGACTCATGTCCACTGTCTCACAAACTCAAAGATCTACAGGCGAAAACCAACAAGTTGACAGAAACAGTAAAGACGTGACTTCCTTCACGTGAACGTAGAGAAGGCAAGGGTGATGAAGATACCTAAACAACAACTACAACAACAAGCACCAATCATCATCAACAGGAGAAATCGAAAGCAAGTTGTCCTCTCACCTACCTACCTATATAGGCAGCATCATCTCAGATGAGAATGTGAAAGCCAGGATTCGAAAGACAGCAAGACATGCCTTCATTAACCCGAAATCGGTATGGAGATCTACTGCACTGCACTGCACTACACTACACTACACTACACTCAGCATGTGCAACAAGATCCGAATTTTCAACAATAAGTCAGTCAGTCAGTCAATCAAGTGAGTCAGTGCTTGTATGTGATGCTTGAGAGACTTGGCGCGTTACGTAAAGCATTTCCTACAAACTAAAGACAGTCATCAACAGCCGCCGCCTACACTCACTCTATACTGAAGATCAGATGAGACGGCGAGAAAGAATAAGCAAGGAAGAAGTGTGGCCTGGTAACCAACTGACTAGGCGACTGTCTATCACCCAACAAATATGCATAAGAAGAAAGTGTAGATGGATTGGATTGGAGACACTGAGAAGGAAGACCGTTTGGAAACATCATGTGCCAGACCGAGCCAGGCCCTCGTGTGGAACCCGTATTGGGAACGACGAGTTGGACATCCGAGGGTGACATGGAGGAGATGGTGTGAGGATGAAATGAAAGCTTGTGGGCAGTGGTAGAGCCAGGTTGTGAAGACTGAAGAGAAGAGTGTGAAGAGGCGATGTGCTACTAAATCTCTATATTCCACTAGGAACCCAAGAGACATATAAATAAATAAATAAGTTTGCATTAAAAGTTTAATCTGATTAACTTACCTTGCCAACTGAATGTGCAACACGAGTGTGTTCAGCTACTGAAGCACATTTCAATTGTTCACCATCTATGGCTGTTGAATTTCTATCGATCAGAACACAAAATGATGCATGTCTTAAATTAGGACTTTCAGCATAAAGCAGATAATCAACACCTCCAACGCATAATCCAGGACGTACAATCCAACCCTTAGATCTGTAATATATGTATACAGCATAATGACGTAATAAGTTGAGTTCTCTTTGTGAATATTTCTCTAGCTTTTCACGTGCTATTTCTAGTTGTATATAGGGCATATTAACATCTCCTGTACATAGGCGAAACCAAACTTCTGACTTAAAATTAGGTTGAAAGAGGAAGCAATAGAAAAAAGGGTGAGAAACAAAAGTTTTAGCATTACATATAGATGTGAAACTACAACCTAACACATCAAAACTGTACGCGTATCACATGGACTGGTTATCCTGATTCAGTAGCTTAGTGTAAGACGTGAGAAGGCTTCAGGTGTTACACCACCGTTGCCTTCGTAGTGTAGGTCATATTCCGTGGTGTCACCAGGTGAGTAATGCAGAAGTCAGGTACAGAGTTTTACGGAGAAAAGGTAGGTCAGTTGATACGGTCGTGAACCTTGATCGAGAGAGATGGCTGGGACACGTGTTCCGTATGCCTAATCCCGATTTCCGCGTCACGCAATGTTGACCGAAGTAGGTTCAGGCTGGAAAAAGGCCCTAGGTGGCCAGACTAAAATATGGCATCGATGTATGAAGTGTTTGACTGTTGATTTGAGCCATGTGGGGCGATGCAGACTAGGTGGTTGGGGTCGTCTGGACAAGAGAAACCAGTGGTTGGAGACCCTAAGTGATCGCATAGTTTAGAACCGATGTCAGTGGCGCAGATGTATACACACATTATCTTCATCTTAACGACCCTATACTGAATCTCACCATTTTCTCATTCTTCCTTTCTCCCTTTTGGTACTTTATATTTCCTTTTCTTCATCTATCACTTCACTGCTCTTTTACTTGATGTACTGATATGGACTGTGGAAGCTCGAACCGTTACGCAGTAGTGCTAGGTCTTATGTTGATGGATGATGATTATGGACAACGCTCTGACGTTTGAAGAGAATGGTCCTAAGTTCGAATCCCAGGGAGAATACTGTTATGATTGTTTAGTGTTCTCTGACCTTTCATATTTTGTCATGAATGTTTCATCACTATGCTTAGTGACATCTTCAGCAGCACTAACTTCATAAGGAAGTGAAGCATATCCGAATAGTAGATGAATGTTTACATAGTGTTTTTATTGAGTTTTGATGTTGCCCAATTGTAAGTTCGGGAAGAAACGTTTTTGGGGATACCAAGAACACTTTTATTCAAATTATCGACAGAATTATAGAGACAATTAAAATATTTCGTCAATAGAAGTGGACATTCAGTTAGTTCAACAACTGAATTTCTACACAAAATAAAAGATTGAAAGATAAGTAGTGATGAGATGATATTCCTTAATATGACTTTACTTTTCGACCTAAATTTAGCCAAAGATATTCTTCTGAAGAACGATCAGACTATTTCTGAACATACAAAGATCTCTGATTCGTGACGTCGACTACATATTCGTAATTCTCGAGGAAGGATGAAATGGAAAACACGTTCAAATTAATCAGCCTAAAATTACAGGGAATTCACTTCATACAAGAGAAGGAATCCATTGTTAGATGTTCTTATATATATATATACACGACGGAACACATTTTGAACTAAAACAGTAGTCCTTCTATAGTCCATAAGAAATATTTAGTACAAGCCCTTATCTTCAAAGTCGAAACACATTGGAGCGTTGAAGCACTACGGAAAGTTGAAGAAAAATCGTTTGGAGGACGTTCAAAGCCAATGGTTATCCACCCAACTATGTCAGAAGGTGCTTATCAACAGGACAGAAGACAGGATAACTGCCTCAAATCAATAGGCAAGTTACACTACTCTACATCAAAGACATCTAAGAAACAGTCAATCGATTGCCTCGTTTTTTGGAATCAGACTAACACACAAACCAAAGAATCCATTGCGAAAAAAAGAGACAGGGTAAACATGGTGGACGTGAGGACGATTACTCAACAATGGCATTAGGTGATGGTAGCGCTATGTCGTGAACTGACAGAAAAAGTTGGATTCCGACCCAGCGTGTGGCCACAGAATATGAAGGTCCTTGCCTCGATCTCTGTCATGAACATGGGCACGCACCACTGAGCAGTTCCGTACTAAGACAAAACAAATATTCAGTGCTACCAGGTTTCTAATATTACTCTAACTGATGTCAGTCCATGATGATTACCAACTTGAAACTGAATACATGCAATCGAAATGATTCTGAACCAGTCCAAGATATATAGAAAATACCACTAACCTTATCACAAAGAAGGGGAGAGTATTATAACTAAATCAATCACGTCTCAAAGTAACGAAGTTAATAACCTGATATCAATATGAATAATAAATTCTTCGAAACGCGTTATCCGGCATATAATACTGTTCATCAACAGTGTGACATTGTTAATGAGTAATCTAAAATGTGATGTTAGTGTGAAGTGTGGCAACCTGTGAACCGATGGACTTGTGTCCGAAATTCTACGTTGATTTTATCTCTTGTCTGTCGATCTATCCATCTATCTAGTAGGCATCGGGTTATACAATGGTGCTTCACCACAGATATTTCTTGAGTTACATGAAGCGAAACATATGTTAACATGTAACGGTTCTAACTTAAGCATTCACTCTCTTTTCAGTCTTCACAACCTGGCTCTACCACTGCCCACAAGCTTTCATTTCATCCTCACACCATCTCCTCCATGTCACCCTCGGATGTCCAACTCGTCGTTCCCAATACGGGTTCCACACGAGGGCCTGGCTCGGTCTGGCACATGATGTTTCCAAACGGTCTTCCTTCTCAGTGTCTCCAATCCAATCCATCTACACTTTCTTCTTATGCATATTTGTTGGGTGATAGACAGTCGCCTAGTCAGTTGGTTACCAGGCCACACTTCTTCCTTGCTTATTCTTTCTCGCCGTCTCATCTGATCTTCAGTATAGAGTGAGTGTAGGCGGCGGCTGTTGATGACTGTCTTTAGTTTGTAGGAAATGCTTTACGTAACGCGCCAAGTCTCTCAAGCATCACATACAAGCACTGACTCACTTGATTGACTGACTGACTGACTTATTGTTGAAAATTCGGATCTTGTTGCACATGCTGAGTGTAGTGTAATGTAGTGCGGTGCAGTGCAGTGCAGTGCAGTAGATCTCCATACCGATTTCGGGTTAATGAAGGCATGTCTTGCTGTCTTTCGAATCCTGGCTTTCACATTCTCATCTGAGATGATGCTGCCTATATAGGTAGGTAGGTGAGAGGACAACTTGCTTTCGATTTCTCCTGTTGATGATGATTGGTGCTTGTTGTTGTAGTTGTTGTTTAGGTATCTTCATCACCCTTGCCTTCTCTACGTTCACGTGAAGGAAGTCACGTCTTTACTGTTTCTGTCAACTTGTTGGTTTTCGCCTGTAGATCTTTGAGTTTGTGAGACAGTGGACATGAGTCATTATGGACGAAGTCGAAATCTTCTAGGACTTTTTCATCGGTCAAACAGTGTATGCCTCCGTTCTCGCTCCTCACTTAGCATATATATAGAGAGGCTAGCGTTCAACTTGATGAAGTCAAAGAAAGCTGTCAGTTACTGGGAAGCGCTGAAAAGCGCAACATTTTACTGATAGGTGCGAACATGCGCAAGAATATATCCCTCCTAGAACTGTATCGTGATTGCAACTGAAATAACTCAGCCACTCTCTAGTGAGAACTATTGTAAACCGGAAGGCGTTGAATAGGTGTTACTTCTCAATCAAGGACTCCTGGGCAGTGTACAATCCATGATTAACACCTCATATATAACACATAAAAGTTATTAAATAGTATAAATGAAATTAGGAACAAAAATGTTTATCATCTTACCAAAGATAAAGGTTCCAGATGCTGAGATCCAGTACTTAAATTCGATTGAGAGTTTTCATTCATGGACAAATAAACTTGTAAACAGTCAAGTCCATGTGACAAGAACAATGTCTGGAAGATAATGTAACAAAACTGATGGTCATTAAATAGAACAATGAATCAGTTATTCAATGAGAAAATGGTTCATGATCAACCTCGGTGAGGTAGATCCAGGCTAGAAAAGACTTCAGAGTAGTCAGATTAAAATACTTCATGATTGCATAAAGACTTTGATCTGAGACGTGTGGAGTAATGTTGATCTCGCTTTTGTGGTCCACGTGACAACAAAGAAATCAGTAGTTGGATACTCTAAGTGATCTACTTTAGAATTGATTTGTCAGTGATACAGATGGATCCACACACACACACACACACTTTGAGTTCATTTGAATCATCTAATCGAATTCTTGTATTCATCATATCTTCCTTGCCGTCTTTATGGGTGACTTTTCACTGCTCCCCTCTCCGTCACCTTGGTGCATTCTTGTTTAATATCCTGATATGAAGTGTGATAACTTGAACCATTATGGAGTAATGCCTCGTCTCATGATTAATTTTGTCTATGTATTTATCTAAAGTTTATATTAGCCAGATATTAATTATAAGGGTATATTTCAACAGAATGCCACCGTGTTTATAAAATTAAAATACAAGATATTTCTGAACGTTTCATTTTGCAAGGCACACAGCTTCTTCAACAGAATATACGGATTTATATATATATATACCCTCTGTACTTGTGCGAATGGAAACCCTCGTTCGCAATATGTCTACATTCTGAAAGTCAATTTAAATGCATGTAAAGCTATTGTTGATCACTTTTGAGGTTTCAGATGTTTGACTACTATTACCTTCATAGTATAGACAGTGAGTAACTTAGACGTCATACGTAGAGTTTTAGGGGGGAGAGGTAAGACAATTTTGATGCAGTTGTGAACCCGTCATCGACTGACTTGACCAGTTGGGAAACATAATACGTATGAGTAACCACTGTCTGCCCTATCAGACAATGTTGGTCGAAGTAGGTTCAGGTTGGAAAAGGTCTACGGTTGGCCATATTAAAACATGGCATCAATGCATGAATTAGTTAGCTGTTGGTTTCAGCCATGTTGGGCGATGCAGACTAACCGGTTGAGGTCTACGAGATAAGAGAAATCAGTGGTTAGAGGCTGTATGTGATATGACTCATGACCGATGCCAGTTGCGCAGACTTATACACCCACATTATCTTCAATCCTAATCGCTTTACCTAATCTCATCATTTTCTTATTCCTCTTTCCTCTCGTCTACCGCTTTCTACTTCATTTGATCGATTTTTTTACTCCTTTCTTTTTTTCATTTTATTGCCTTGATATTTAATGTGCTGATCTGAGGTATGGCTGGCAAGTTGGACTGTTACGGAGTAATGTTTTGTCCTATCTTGACCTTGATAATGATCGCTTTTATAAATTCGTATATAACTAGTGTTCATTTATTCTAACGTAAGACTCTTAAAAGTTAAGTTAACACAATATATATGACAACTACAAATGCTACACAAAGAAGCGATTTTCATCAATAAAAGCAGAAGCCTGAATTTCATAGGTTTTTCAATTTTTCTTTGATTTCCTAAAGAGTGATATCATCATCAGTCTGGTTGTTATGGTGCAATTCTTAAGCTCATATTTTCAGTTGGGGGTTTAATCAATAAAAATCATCAGGCCTGTTGAATACTTTCTCAAACCCTTACAGCATGTGAACGAAAATGTCGGATCCAGTTGCACCTACCAATTCAAATGAATGTATGGTGACATAAACATAAGAAGTAACCACAGATCCATACAAGTAAAGGCTTCAGAAGCAATAAATGATGGTAGAAGATGATAAAGTTTGGGGATTGAGAAACATATCATTGAAACGGACCAAAGGATTGATATTGCTACTTCCTCCACACCTATTTACAAACCACCTGTAGTTAAAACTTCTTATCCAAATCTAAGTGAATTAGAGAGGTGGAGAGCATCGTATTGATCATCATTTTGACTAAAATAGCAGCTATGGTTTGGCAGGGTAGTATTGATATAAAGGTGATGATTGAAGGTGGAATGAAAATTTGAACCACGACCGGATTTGAACTAACGACCAACGGGTTTCCAAGTTTCTATTTTGCCGTCAATCATCACTCAGTATCAATACTAGTCTATGAAATCACGGCTACTACTTCAGATAGTCAAAGTGATAATAAATATCTATCAAAGTAAATGATAATGATGAAACTAAAAACGACATACCTCTACGTCACTCAAGAATAATTGTGTTATATTACTTGTCTTAGAAGTATTTTCATTTAACTGTATATCATCACCTTTGAAGATACGATTGTCAATTGAATTTTCTGTATCTGATCCATCCTCAAAATGATCGTAATCAACCTCTTCATCATCATCATCATCTGTATCATAATGTCTGATGAAAAGCAAGAGGAGAAAAAAAAATCACCATTCATTTGATAAAATCTTGAAAAAACAAAAACAATTTACTACTCAAAACATACTTTAGATATCAAAGATGATAGGTATACAAATGATATTGTTGTAATGTGGATCAGTGATAGAAGCATTTCAATCCCATGTGTCTACACGCTATTCGAATAGATCAACATCTGTGAGTAATCGATGATCGATTTATAAAGGAAATAACAACTAAACAGTTACATCGGTCACCTATACGTGATCAGTCGGTAGGGTTTCTTATCAATCAACTCCAAACATGTAACACGTAACAAAGTATTAGAAGAAAAGGTATGCATATCGGCCGTTAGGTGACTGGTTCTCAATATGTCCTCATGATAAGAAGCGGTTTAAATAGAAATCAGAATTCTTAGTCATCAGCCATCAACGTAGAAGTTTTCGATTTCAACTGTGGTTAGCCAGGGAAAAACCTTATTGTACAATTTTGTCCTTCAGTTGACCATCAGAATAAGCATCCAACTTTTGACCTACTGGCTTTATTTTCTGAAGAAAAACTGCATAAATCATGTGTATTTTTCTTTTGTTAAATAAAGTTTTCTTCTTCTTTACAATCACAGGCAGACCTTTCTCTTTTGATTTTGGTGGCTCAATGAATTATCAGGTTTGACGGAGAATAGTCGCTATTCTTATCCCGCTCAAAATGTTGTATTGCGTTAGTAGGGTTCTCGTATCTAGTATTATTCTTTCAGTCAGTAAGTAGACTTAATCGACTACTTCCACAGAAGAATAGACTGATAGCGTTATCAATCGCTTTACACGGTAAAGGTAACTGTAAATGAGATTTCACAGGGTCAAATCATGTGATTTCAAGATGAAACGATATCATTTTCTAAAGCTGTTCAATCATAAATATAAAACAATAGGGTAAAATTGCATTAATAAGCTAGTTAGTGCTTAAAACTAAAAGCAAGAGTAAAGAAGAGTAGTTTTGTAATAATTTCACACACAATACGAATGAATATGAGAAAGGCAAGGAGTTTGACAAGGTGAAAACTGTTGGTAGATGTGAAGTACAATGAATGAGTGTCTATCTGATAGATGTAAAAAGTGATGAAGAAAGAAACAAGGATCATAACTGAAGGAGATAACAGTGACAAGTCCATGGTAAGATAAGAGGTTGAACATATGTTATCTCCAAGCAAAGACCATTTACGCTTCAATTGGTAAGTTACCAGTGCATCTGCCATGGTACACAATTGTAGAAAGTGTACTATCTTCTGAACTATTCCCATTCACTCTATAAATGACACTGAACGAAGGCACTGGTGGAACTGTCTATATGTCCAGACTTAATCAAATATTCAAGAAGTGAACTGTTAATTGATTCACATTCTGCTCTCGACAATCATGTAAAATATTGCTCAAGGATACATTTTGAAATTGAACGCTTTATGCGGTCTATATATCTCTGAGCACCATAATATGTGACTACTGAAAAAATTAATTAACAATTCACTTCTTGAACAATTGATCAAGTCTGGACATATAACTAGTTCCACTAGAGTTTTTGTTCAGTATCAAAGAGAATGGTTCAAAAAGGAGGAGTATACTACAGAAAGTTGTACACTATAGTAGATGCACTAGCAATTCACCAATATCAAACAAGATTGATCTCTGCTCACAGATGATATATGTTCAATCTCTTATCATAACCATGGTCTTATCACTCACAATTCTATTCTCGATTTCATTATAACTAGTTAGTCTACTGTTATCACTATAAGGGAAAAACTTGACTGCTGTACATTTGATATACCACACAATGATATTAGTTTGATTAACTGAATGATATTTCGAGTAGAATTTATAGCTTATATCTATATAGTACTTTAAAGGCTGTTTTCATGTCTATCCTGTGATTACTTTCTAGTATATGTGGCTACAAAAACAAATGACCTCAACAGATCCGATAAGTGCAGGTGACAAACATCCATCTTCGTCTATCGCTAATTATATCTATATCTCAAAGTAAGCATATAACTTTCAAACTTTCTTTATGTATACATAGTCTAACAGTTTTTCATTCTTTTATCCTTACGGTAATAAAATTTTTCAAATGCCCTGTACTGTGCGATGTATAGTGGTTGCTAAATGTGTCACAATAATAATAATAATAATAATATTAATAATAGTAGTAATAATAATAATAATAGGAGAAATTAGTCCCTTTAATAAATTTCGATAACGCTATTAGAAGACGAAAATTATCTGAAAAATGTGATGTGTTTACGCAATACATTTCGAACAATCTGCTCGATCACACATTTACTTGTCAAGTCAATTTATATATGAAAATTAAAGGTTAAATATAGTGAATATGAAAAGATTGTGACACAAGTCTTGGTAATATAATCCGATTGCCAAGGATTACCAAGGTAAACTTAATCCCCCGCTGTGTGTACAAAAACAATTTGTTGTTTCACTTAATTTACCTTGGTAATCCTTGGCAATCTGATTATATTACCAAGATTAGTGTCACAACCTTTTCATATTCACTATATTTCACCTTTAATTTTCATATATAAATTAACGTGACAAGTAAATGTGTGATCGAGCAGATTGTTCGAAATGTATTGCACAAATACATCAAATTTTGAGGGAGTTGTGGAGATTTGGAAATATTTCAAGTTGTTATTCATCGAAAACTGACATCAGTTAGAGGAACAAAGGAAACTGGGAGCACTGGACAGCTGTTTCGTCCTAGTATGGGACTCCTCAGCAGTGCGCACCCACCACCCCACCAGCAGGGATCGAACCCACAACGTTCAGGTTCCACGGCCAACCCGTTACCATTGAGCCACTGGGTCAGAATCCAATGCTCCATATTTCCAACTTCTGTTAGCTCACGATATAGCGCAAACCGCCACCCAATGTGAAGAGTCCCATACTAGGACGAAACAGCTGTCCAGTGCTCCCAGGTTTCCTTTGTTCCTCCAACTGATGTCAGTCTTCGATGAATAACAACTTGAAATAATAATACACTTTATTCTGAAAGTTATTTCGAGAATACTGAACGGGATTTTCAGTATGTCATATAGCATCAATTGGATAGAGACAATGTAAATGTATACATAGTAAAATGAAATAAGTAGAAAATCACATGAAGAGAAGATAAAAATACAACTTCAAAATGCACAGTCAGTTTAGGCATACAATTACATCAGTAATTAGATTTATAATACGTAAACGTGACATGCTCATCTTCAGTTAGTTTGCTTCGGGGAAAACAGAAGTTGATTAGTGTTAGTTGATTTCTGATACTTTCTTCATCACACAGCAGATGAGCTAAACACAATATGTATTGTAGAGTTTTTATATTTTGTAGTATGTGCATAGAGTCTTATGTACTTGCTCCTCGTCTTTTCAGATGACCAACACGTAGAAAACTTCGAGTGAAAAGGATGTTGGTCATCTGATAAAATAACTCCTACCAGATGTTTACATGAGTTAATATGTTAGTCCACAACAGTTTTAACTAGAAAGTTTAGGGGGACACTACTAGTTCTGCTGACAATCTTCAAAGTTCTACGCAATATAGCATAGTCTTTTTTCAACAACCCAGGAAAAAAAAAGTGGAGCAATAAAGGAAGACAGGCAAGATGCAGGAGTTTATAAAATATATGAGAAGAGGTTGGAGTAATACCAAATACTCTCAGCTTCCTAATATAGAAAGTTAGGTGGAAAATTCTTTTGGAAACTAGTGAGATATGAGAAGACCAGGAAAGGTCAGAAGAAAAACACACGGCAAGATAAATCACATTTGTAACATTTTCTAATACGCAACCATCAACAGAACAGGAATAATGAGAATTAAGCAGTTTACATAAGTTATGTTCACGTCTGAAACTAAAGTTTATCGTCTGACATTTTGAAGAATTTAGCATATAACCATTCTCAGAGGACCATCGTCTAACAGAAGATAGGAAATCATTCAGTTGAGAGCAATCAGCTGAAGAGGAGAGAGGTATGGAAAATGTTAGATCATCAGTATATCTAATGAAATTGATACCCAACTGAAGATGGTAGGTCATGCAGAAAGAATAGGACGAAATGCGCATCCTGGATTCCACTGCTATCACTGATCCATCATTAAGTAAATAACATTAACTAATGAAAGTCTCTTGAATATTTTACAAGTCCCAGGTCAAATAGAGAACCAGTAATAACCAGTCACAGTGATATCCTCAGCTTACCTTATTGTCATCTTGATTCTATCCATAAAATTGTACTCATCATTTCTACTCACACCATAACAACCCTGTGTTTAAAAAGACAAAAATAATACTTAGCAAATAAAAAATAACCATTTGTTCAGTTAATATGCATAATAAATTCCGAAAAACTCAGTTTTCTGAACACTTCGATTCACAAATTTAGACTTTTCTAAGTGGTTGTAGGTGATAAATACCAGATTGAGTAATGTTCTCAAGAGCGTTTTACAAGCAAGTGAACGGTACAATCGATGTATTCAACTCAACATGAACAACTAAACTGGTGGATACATGTTGATGTGGCTTAAGGCACCAGAGTGAATTAAAAAGAATCGAGAAACGACTATCGAAATCCCTGAGGTAGAACATACTTCGCTGACAAACCTTCGAATCTTTTTCCCCCGTTATTGGGTCACATCAAAATACGGATAGAAATCAGTTTACTGGTTAATGCACAGAGCTGACTGAATACATCAGTCACACCATTCATCCATCTGTCAAATCTGCTCCAGAACACTACCCAGACTAGCTATCAGAGGCAAGACGGGAATGTATCTTCAGCTCAATAAAACATCTTGTCAATTCTAGTCACTGACCTCCTTCTGAGAATTCTTTCAAAAGCATGTGAGAAGCTTCAATTAAACGGTATGATTAGGACATCTAGAAATATCTAAAGCACTAACCATATAGAAGTTCAAAAGTCCCATCAATGACTATCAGAAAACCCTAACTGTAATAAATCATTATTATTATTTGTCCCTTGGGCTCTTAATGGAACATAGGGCTTCAGTAGCAACTCTCCAATCCACTCTCTTCTCTGCAATCTTTTGAACCTGGCTCCACGACAGCCCACAAGCTCTCATTTCTTCCTCGCACAATCTCCTCCATGTCACCTTCACTTCGGACGCCCAACTCGTCGCTTCCCATTTGGGTTCCACTCGCGGGCCTGCTGCCTGATGTCCCAAGTCGGCTTCTCAGTGTATGCCCAATCCATCTCCACTTCCTTCCAGTGCATATTTGTTCAGCGATAGGTTATTGCTTTGTTGGTTCGTTCCCAGAGTTCCTTGTTGCTCATTCTTTCTAACCATCTGAGTTTCAGTATGGAGCCAGTGTAGGCAGCTGTTGATGAACATCTGTAGTTTGTTAGAAATCCCTTTCGTAACGCGCCAAGTCTCCGAGACATACAGAAGCACTAACTTGACGTTTGTGTTGAAAATCCGAATCTTATTACACATGCTGAGTGCATAAGATTTCCACACTGGTTTCAGGCTAATGAACACGTATCTTGCTTTTCCGATCCTGACTGGTTTTGACATCCTCATCTGTGCCGCCTGTTGTTGAAACAATGCTGCCTAGATAGGTGAAAAAGGCTAGTTCCTTCAAGTTTCTCCCATTGATGGTGATCGAGGCTTGTTGTTGTTGGTTGGGTATCTTCACCTCCGTTTTCTCTACATTCACCTGTAGTCCCGTCTTCGCTGCCTCACCTCTTATGTCAACTTGTTAATTTTCGCCTGCAGATATTCAAGTTGGTGCGACATCAGATACAAGTCATTGGCGAAATCCAAATCTTCCAGGTTCTTTTCCCCGGTACAGCCAGCGTATCCCCCTTTTCTCGCTCCTCACTGTTTGTTGCATGATCCAGTCGACCACAATCAGGAAGATCATCGGTGATATTAAACAGCCTTGCTTCACTCCTGTCTTCACTTCGCTTCAAAGGCATCACTGAGCTTTCCATTTTGGATTACTTGTCATGTGGCCTCTTCATATAGTTGCTGAATGAGGTTGATAAAGGTTTGTGGTATTCCGTAGTGTTGAAGCAACTGCCTAATTATTTCTCGGTCGATGCTTTCGAACGCCTTCTCAAAGTCGATGAAGTTGAGGTAGAGGGTTGACTGTCATTTTATACTCTATTCTATGATGATGCGAAGCGTTGCAATTTGGTCCGCATATGATTTGTACTTCCTGAATCCAGCCAGCCAGCTTGTTCCGGTCGTTGTTTTTAATCCAGTGCATCCTTTAGTCTGTCGAGGATGATGCGGCTTAATATTTTACTTGCTCTGGGTGGACAGGAGAGTGATTCCGCACCAGTTCTTGCAAAGACTGTAATAAATAAATCCAGTATTATGTAATTAAATTCATTCGTTTACAGTAAACCCCGATTCGTACTACTTTACTTCCTTCTCATATTTAATAATATTTCGACTTTCGTCCTGAAATAATCCTGCAATATTCTACCCATTCTAATAATATATATTCATATATTTACACTGAGCTATCAAGTTACATCAGTCCAGATGGAGTGACGGTTGATGAAAGGAAACTCAGCATCAACACAAAATTGACGTTAATGATGCTGGGTAGTGGCTAGCAGTGAAGTCTACGACATGTATTTCATTCATTCGAGGATTCACTCATTAGCTGGATTTACCTGTCTCTCAGTGAGCAACGATTTTTCTAGTCAGGACTAGAGTGCTGGATTAATCATGATAATTAGAACTTGTACAACAGGTATGGCATAGTTTTTGACATTACAGGTTGTAAATACCCATCCTTGATTGGACTGAAATGATTGGGAACAGTTGAAACACGGGATTCTCTGCAGATATCTGAGTATTTTAGGTTTACCAAAAATTCTGTGATTAGGTTAATCCCTGTGTAGTTGGATATTGTGTAGGAGATTTCCATAAGAATATCTATGATAAAATTGAATAGAAATGGAGAGTGAGCATCCTTGACGGATATCTTGTCATAGTCTCTAACACTGTGTACATTCACTAAGTGTGGTGGTTGAGGTCAATCGTGATTTGTACACGGTTACAAAATCCTATACAGAGAAATGCGATCTACAGCAACATTAGGTAGGTTTAAAAGTAAACAGTGACTTGATTAATATATGACAGATAGTGAGAGAAAATCAACGTAATACCTCGCACACACAGGTGCATCACCTCAAGTTGCAACAACTCATAGTGGTATAAAAAGAACAAGGTGGATAGAAAAAGACTGATATCAAAGTAGACAAAGTTGTGTAAGAGAATAAATTGTTCGAAGATAGTAGCATTGAGTCCTTTCCTTTCGGAAACTCAAACCAACAGTTAGACATTTCATGGATCGGTGCCATGTCACTGTATGGCTATCCTGAACTCTCTTCCAAAGTAATTTGACACCCCCTTATCATGGACATACCAAATTAGGTGATTGCTGAGCATGTGCAGCATATATCCAAGCTATTAATCGATTTACCAGTCTTGCCTAGAGCTCTTCACTTGACCTCAACATTGCTTACACGGTAACTCCAGCATTTACAAGCAATGCTATAAATACAACAGTGATCAAAACTCTGTAACCGCTGAATATCTACTTTTAACGGTCACGTATAACAGAACCGAAGGGACTGCGACATCGCAATATACTCGTACTTTCATAGATAGATATCTCACCAGTCGACGTCCTGGATGACGCAAGTTGTTAAATACCAAACAAACCCTATATATATATATATATATATGCCTCCTAGAAACAGTTTGTTTTCCAGTCATTAACTTTAATCATCACATTAGAAGAATGCGCCAAAACCTAGGTATTACGTAAGACGCACGCATACATACATACACATAGAAATGCACTGACACGTACCAGTAGGCTATTAATTGGTAGTAAAACAGAGATCAATAAAAAGAAAATTTGTTCTTTTTTGAAGAAAAATGTGAAACAGTCAACTATTCTATTCATATACACGTGAGCAAATAATTACAATGCATAATATGAAATTATAGACAGATAGTAAGTAGTAAAGCGTTTATATGTATGTTGAAGAACAGTTAATCTGATTTAATAACCAAAAGAAAAGTAGTATACTTCGATAAGGTATTGAATCAATAATGTGTGTAACACCATAAGTTAACTACTAGGGATGCACCATAAATATGTCAGTTAGGATAAGCCCTAGTGGTGGGTGACCCCATAACCACTCTTTCATTAATTTGCCAATATAATTGATTAATAAACTGGAATTGAAAATAGTTTGTACAAAAGAATAGTAATTGATTGAGTTTTATATACAGAAATGAAAGTAGACTAGCCTATCGTTTCATCCAATGCTTTCTTCGTCAATAATGAGGAAATATTACTATTATTATTATTATTCCCTTGGTTTCCTAGTGGAGCATAGGACTTCAGTAGCACGTCGCCATTTAACTCTGCAGTTCTCTGTGGTCTTATATACCTGGCTCCATGAGTGTCCAGAAGCTTTCATTTCTTCACCATACCATATCCTCCTTGTCACCCTCGGACTCCCAACTCGTCATTCCCCATTTGGCTTCCACTTGACTGCTTGGCCTGATGCGTGATGTCCCCAAACTGTCTTCTCAGAGTATATCTAATCCATCTCCACTTTCTTCTTATGCATATTTGTAGAGCGATAGCTTCTTGGTTGGTTCGTTGCCAGTTTAGAGTTCCTTATTGCTTATTCCTTCTGGCCATTCGATCTCCAGAATGGAGAACAGAAGTCAGCTGTTCATGTATGTCTGCAGTCTGTTGTAAATGCTTTCCATAACGCGCCAAGTCTCTCAACAATCATATACAAGCACTGACATGATCGAGTTGGTGTTCAAAATCCGGATCTTGTTGCACATGCACAGTGCAGTAGATCTCCACAGACTAATGAAGGCCTGTCTTGCTTTCCCCGATCCCTGCTTTGACGTTCTCATCTGTGCCGCCGCCTACAGTTGAGACGATGCTGCCTAGGTAGGTAGGTAAGAGACAACTTCCTTTCGATTTCTCCCGTTGGTGGTGATTGGAGCTTGTTGTTATTGGTTGAGTATCTTCATCACCTCTACCTTCTCTATGTTCACATGAAGGAAGTCTCGTCTTCCTTCGCTGCCTCGCCTCTTCTGTAAACTTGTTGGCTTTCGCCTGTACATCTTCGAGTCTGTGCTGCATAAGACGTTAGACATAAATGATCATCCGCGAAATCCAAGTCTTCTAGGATCTTTTCATCAATCAAAAAGCGTATGCCCATCTTGTAGCTCTTCACAGTTTGTTGCATGATCCAATCAAGTCTATTACAATCAGGAAGATGAGGAAATCTTAACTAAACCCTAACCAATTCATAACAAGATGAATTGACCGATGAAGTCTTAAAGAAAACTATTTAACTTTTGGATTTTCGAAAGGCTATACATAAAGGGTAGTTATGAACCTCGTGGTTTAAGTTCATTATAGGGTTGACACCATGGATCAAATGCTTCTTCAAAAGTTCTCTTGGTAACCTTTTACAATCTTGCATATGTTTGTTTATTTATTACGTCATCTCTTTATTGATTACAGTTGCTGACTGTGAATCACCCAACCTCAAGTTTTTTCAGTTTTTTCAAAACATAAAACTACCTTAACAACTGCTTCTTTTACACTGCTGCCTCATTGTTGTTCCCTTCTCTTCACTCCACAGCTCCAGAATTTTCTATCTCATCAGGTTTGTGATTATAAATCCTGTATTTCCTCGTCTCACTCACTACCACTTTATTACTAAGCCTGGATTTCATCAGGACAGTTACTCAACGAGGACATGGGATGTAGGTCATGCTACATCGTGAACTAAGAGAAGTAGGAAATATGGACTCCATGGTAACATGCTGGCTACGAAACTTGAAGGTCATAGGTTCGATCCATGGCGTAATGTGGCGGGGTCATGGGTGTGCACAGTTGAGGAGTCCCATACTAGGAAGAGGCAGCTATTCAATTCTCCTAGATCTTCAATATTTCTCCAATTGATGCCACTTCATAATAACTTCCAACCTGAAATAAACTGCCATTGATTTTGACTAAGGTTTATGATAATAAATCTTGTATTTGCTTGATTCACTCACTATCATTTTTTTGTTAAGCCTAGATTTTAAATTTTCATTTATCTCAGCATATTTAAAGTGTATCATATCCTTGTTAATATCACTAATATTTCGTTTGATTTATAGGCTGTTTGCAGCTGATGAAAGATAGTGAAATAAAATAACTTCATGTTGTATATTCTGTAAATATCTTTATTCTTGCTCTAGTCAAATCTATTTATTGTCAAGTCTAGTCAATAATGCTTTAACCTTGAGAACAATAGTAGCAGTAGATAAGGTATTTTTAAGAACCTATTAAAAAGAATTAACTAGCCATCGCATGTAAGTCAATGATTATTACTTGCTTGATTTATGACACAATTTAGATGATATTTTGAATGTTGATTGATACTCATTGGAAAATACTTTTGAATATGAAAGAGACAAGGGTATATCCTCTTTTGATGTCAACTTGTTTTTATTTACGAATGTTGTATCCTTGATGAATATAGTTAGTTAATATTCTTTGTGATTATATATCCTTAAATTATCCTTTTTTGCCTATTTCTCCAACGGATTTAAAAAAGCTACTTTTATTAGGCATTGATAAGGTTCACTTCATTTTCAAACGTGAACACTTCCATTAAATTGATGGTGTTACTGTGAGGAGTCTATGAGAATTGTTATTAGCCGATATGTATATGTCATATACTGAATAAGTAATGTCACATTCTATAAAAGATATAGTGATGACATCATTTAAAATGATTATCAACTTGCATTTCTCGATATACCCTTGGGTCAGAGGGAAGATGGATCTATCAGAAGATTGAAATTTAAAAAGAGCCTACTTGAACAGGACAGTACTTAAGTTTCTACAGCTTTTATCCAATGAAATATAAAACAGGCTTACTAAGATGTATATTCAATAAAATCTAACATATTTGTACACCTGATACAATGGATGATGAGAAGAAATTTCTGACAGATACACTTGTGGAAAACGGATATCCATTACAGTTTGTCAACCGTTTAAGAAAATAGCTGACTCCGAAGCCTATAGTTTTCTTGCTCCCAAAGAAAGACATATTTCTTTAAGTATCACACAGAGGAGAAACTAGTGGTATGATATTAAAACAGAGATTGAAATCTGGTATCCAGTAAAACATACTATGCAGCTCAGCTTATTATTGTTGAGACAACAAAATACCTGCTTCGCCATAAACCCCAACCTCGTAAAAATGACTATATCACATCCCATTGTGTTTACCAATTTACATGTGTGTGTGGAAACAGGTACATAGGTTACAACGCACATCCTGAGGAACCCTGCGTGAGTCTGATGTAGAAACAGTGGTAGAGACAGTTGGTAACATACACCCAAAGGTTAGCAAAGCTGATGCGAGGAAACTGGTCCCAACTGGCTCCAATACCACCTGTCAAATGTAAGATAATGCTCCTGGCATCGTCTGCAGCTAATCCCAGTTTAAAAACGGAGAGCGAGATGGATGAACGTGTCGACTACTTCATATACCTAACGAGTTGTATCACACTGAATGGGCTGATTGCTGACGAAACCTCAACCTGGATACAGAAGGCGTGTTTGACTTAATGGTAATGACAGTTGACAAGATAGGTGGCGTGAGTCTCCAATGCATGGACGGTTTAAACTAGCCTCAAAGATTCCATCCAGTGTGCATGGAGCAGTGCGATCGAAAGGTAAAGTGAATTCAACCTTCTTAGTTTTGGTAATCATTGCGGTTGAAGCCAGAGATAGAAAAGTGACATTCGGTTCAGAATACCAGTACTGTTAGCTCTAGCCTTCATTGTTTTTTAGTAGTCTAAAAAGAACCATCCCTATAATTCCTTTCAAAGAAATTTGTTTCCGGAAGGTCAGCTACATTCAGGTCTGCAAGATTGTGTGGACTTCAGTGAGGTGTGTCCTATGCACGTTTACCCATAAGGAGGTGAGTATATCAAATGAATCGACTGCCTAGTGAATGTGAAGTCTGATAGTTGCGACAGTCGTAGGATAACACTGATCACTCTGCGTAAAAAGAATACTGCGGTTGAAGCAAAACTACAAATTTATTTATACTGGGTGATGATTGAAGATGGAATGAAAATTCGGACCACGGTCGGATTCGAACGAACCTGCCTTGTGATTGAAATGAAATAAAAATCTGGTCAATAGTCAAACCTCATAGCTCAATTGGTAGAGCATCGGGTCAGAAACCCAGTGGTTGCTGGTTCAAATCCAGCTGCAGTCCAAATTTTCATTTCACCTTCAATCATTACCCAGTACAAATACTGTAAGTCTGCCAAATTATGACTATCTCAGATAGTCAAATGATATTGATTTATTCCTAAAAAAACAAATACAATTTTTTAAAAATCTATTTTAAGCTGTTATTCATCGTAGACTGACATCAGTTGGAGGGAGAAAGGAGACCTGGGAGCACTGGACAGGTGTTTCGTCCGACTAGTATGGGACTCCTCAGCAGTGCGCGCCCAAGACCTACTACTTTACTCAAATAATCAAGGCTTGTATAAACTATGATCAAGATATGATCGTATAGTATGGCAAATATTCGGCGCTGAGTAAAAGGTTGACATCAGACATAGAATTGTATTTGTGTAAATCACAGCGGGTTTGAAATCAAATAATCCTAACGTTGTTTCCCATAAAAATCTGGTCCGAGCTTCTTCAGGGAAATAATCAAAATTAAAATATCGAGGATATATATATATAAATGAATTCAAAAAACCGTGTATTTAATCTCCTCGTCCAGAAAGAAAGAGTGACTAAAAATACTGGTCTCAACTCCATTATTTCTGCATCAACAACAACACAACCTGCACTGATCTGATTCATTATTATGATTATTATTACCATCATCATCACCACCTTCATTACTACCACTCATTTACACTCTATTTTGGTAAATCAATGCGGAGAGAATTCGCTAACACAATTTACCACTTTACTTTAACTGAAATTGTATACACATCCACCTCATCCTTTTCCATTTGTACTTATTAAATTACCAAATGACTGTTACCAATGTCTTTTATGTATGATATTTACAATCAAGACAAATATGAATTGGAGTACATACATACGACAAAAGACATACAAGTTCACACTGAATGATTAGTTATCATAATTTAGAAAGACAATGACTATACGAAGAGGATTGGACGAGGAGATTAGATACACGGTTTTTTGAATTCATTTATATATATATATATATATTCTCGATATTTTGATTTTGATTATTTCCCTGAAGAAGCTCGGACCAGACTTCCATGGGAAACAACGTTGGGATTATTTGATTTCAAACCTGCTGTGATTTACACAAATACAATTCTATATCTAATATCAATCAAGGCTTGGCCTGAAAGAAATCATAGTCGCCTCTCAACAATAAAATGCATCAATCATCAACAAATATATACAGAAAACTATTATACCGTTGAAATGATAATAACCTGGAGAAAAAAACACAATATGCTTACTCTCGTTTGAAGTATTTTAATCTGTGTAACATTTGTGATTAGTGTTTTCGAAGAATTCAGTAGAATTGCTTGAAAGATAACCTGTTTAGGTGTCTGTGAAACATGATCATCATCATCATCATCCATCTTAGATGGTAGCAAATCTTCTGTCAATATTATTGGAAAAGGTATAACACTTTTCGGTAGAATAGATGATGCTAATGACGGCACTAGTTGCCATGATTTGTTCAACTTTGGACGTCCAAAGAAAACTTCCATTAGTTGTCTGATTTGAAGAAGGAAAAAAATAAACATATACAACAAAAATAGTAACTTTGAAAGTGAAATAAGAAAAGAAAATGTCAGTACTGTATGTAAATGAAAAACTCAGAAGCAAATCAAACAAGTTTATCCACATTTCTGAGGCTTTTTATAATGATATTTATCAAGAAGGAGAAGAATTTAAGCGAACAATTGATGTTTTCACTAATTTTGTTTTTCAAGCTTTATAGAATTATAAATCCGTGAAAATAGGTGAAATACAATAGCCAGGGTAAGGCATATAATGCAAACAGTCAGTCAATCAGTGTTATCCATGAAGAGAGGAAGTTAAATCAAACGGATGTAAGTTTCGGTTATCAATCAGATGGAATAGTAACCAGTCTAAAGTAAGTGAGTGGTATAGGAGTAAACCTTGGGCACTGTGGTATATTCTAATTCCATTTCAGTCTACTTATTAGCAGTGTCATACAGTGAAGCTACAGTGTTATTTACTGGGTAACGCGTGTCCATATTCCTATCAGATAACTCCTCTATCCTTCTTTATAATAAAGCTAATAGAATTTTCTGTCTGGAACACGTGCAGAATCATTTCTATTACTGCATGTATTTGGTGTTGACTCGATAAACAATTCAACGAAGTTAGTCTTTAATACTGTCGCTCTATCCCACCCTATTGTATGAATGTATGCAACTGCATGCATGCCTATAGCTAAGCTTTCTTCGAAATTTCTTATCTTATTAGGATCTACTAATCTTGGTTTAGCCAAGTTTTTGTGCTGTTACTCCAATTGACCCTTGTTCATTACTTTGACCACACAATCATTGCAAAAGATTCGGTAGGCAGAAATTATATTGCCCAATTGCATCAATAGGATCTTCCAACCTACAAAGCTTGTTTCTAAGCGAGTTGGTTGATCTAAATGCGACTTTAACCTCAGTCATGGTGAGAATTCTTTATAACGCTTCTGATGTGCCTCCTTGGTACGGTATCACAATAGAGGCTTTGAATTCTCTCTCCACTATGTCGCCATTGTTACAACTATCAGCAAAATTATTATTCTTAATAACATCTGACTACTGCTCATATTCTATCTTCGATCTCATGAATTTATTGATAAATTAAGGGTGGAGAGTTATTGAAACGCAAGGTATTCTTGATGTGTCTAATTTCTCGTCGTAGACGGTTTTGCTTCATCATTTAGACATTTAAATACGCCTACTTCAACTGAGATAGAGTGGGACGATTTGAAGTTTGAGCAGCAATTCAAATAAGGTTTCTTACAAACAAATTTCCAATATGGACAGAACAATTACGAAATAATGAGACAAAATCTAGAGATTATGATTTATTTATATACATTTATCTGGGACGAGAATGTGTGTGTGTTAGTTTATTAAGGGTCAAATCATCATCATACAGTAGTGATGAGCTTTATTCAAAGAGGGTGAAAATCGCATAAAAGCAATAACGAAACAACACATGTGAAGTGTTACGTAACGGTCTATCAATGTATTGGCAATGTAAAAGAAAGGGGTTGGAGGTAAAACTGTGAAATTTGTTATAAAAGAGGTCATAAAGAACGTCTTGACCGTATTGCATGTAGACCTAAGTAGACAAGGTGGTTGTTCATATTTCTTTTGAACACATAGATCAAATTTACTAGTGTTGATACCTATGGTTTATGTTATGGATATAAGATACGTAGTCTCGCACCTTCAGAGAGACTGCTGCAAGGGACACGATATATCACAGAAAAGGCATCATCTAACTCGATGTGAAAGGACTGCCCTGTTGATACACTTTGTCATTCTTTACCCTGACCAAGCTGGTACATGTTCACGAACGCGCATAGATAGAGCCCTTTGAGTACGGCGTATGTAATTAGCTCCACAGGAGCAGCTGAACTCATAAATGTACATTGAAGTGGCCATCATAAGTAACCTATCCTTGGTTAGATGCGTTAATAATGGTTTGGTTGAGAAGCTGATAAAATTTCTTTCCAAATAATCTACTCAATCGGGGTATTAAGATATCGAAGGTAATATCACCTTTGAAACTTAGTCTACGATACATAGGCACCTTAACACCTTATCCTTCTTCATCATCTCTATAGGTTCCAATATGAAATTTCTTTATGAGGTTTAGTGAATAAGCATTTTTCTGCAATTTCACCTTCAGGTTAATTCATTTCTTCTTCTTCTTCAATACAGTCATCGGAATATATGTCTCTTCTTCTAGATGCCTTTTATATTGAATTGGTGGTGAAGCTACGTAAAAAAAAAGAATATACTGACCAATGCATATGTTCTTTTGAAAAAGATTCCTCTGAATATATCCATCCATTTATCTGGTGAGGAAAACTTCAAAAAAGAATTACGATTCCTCTGTTTTCTTCCTCACACATGAACTTAATAGTTCGATGAATATTATTGAAAGTATTCAAAAAATCTTCCTTATTGTAGTCATTATTAAAAATGATAAAAATATCATTTATCTACTGGCAATAATAGTCTAGTTTATCAATTTTACCCCTAAGTGTACTGTTTTCAACTTTGGGCAAAAAGATATCTGCTAGCATAATACTCTCAAAGGACAGCACATTGCAATACCATCTACTTATGGTGCATATCAACAGCAATTCCTTGATATTTATTACATTTGACATTAAATTTCTTTAGATGATTGAATATCACATCCTTCGATCACGTTACAAAAGAAATCGATTAAATAGGCAAGTTAAAAACCTTAGTTCTGGGTTTCTTATCGATTCTCTCCAATCATTGTCTAACATCAATGAAAGCTCACAGAGATGGTGAGTCTCCAAAGAAAAACGACTACTTCATGAAACTGATTGATAGAATTCAGTCAACAAACAGGACTGAACAATATGTAAGGTTTAGTTAGCTCAGCGGTAGTATATCCAATTGCAGCATCGATTGACGCAGATTCGAATCTCACAGGGGACATCAGTTTGCAATCTGGTCACTAAATTAAGAGTCATTGACGGCTTGGATGCCTCAGTGACTAAGTAGCTGACTTCAGCAGTGAATAAAACAGTCTCGAATCGCTAAGGACAAACCTGTTTCCATATTTTAGTGGATATGCCTTGCTGACGAATACCGACAAGAACGAAACCTAGGGTTAAGGTGACCCTACCGACTCACTCCAAGAATTAAACAAAAAAATTAGTGTATAGTTCTGCTGAGTCCTTATTCCGTCGATACATAGCAATAGAAAACAGTTGTCCTCACCCCACCCCCATGAACGCAGATGAAGAGAGAAAAGCAGTCGAAAATGAGAGAACGTCACAAACAAGGGCAAGCAAGAGTGAGGATACTGAAATTCACTTTTACCACTTAGATAAAAATAATGTGTGTGTGTGTGTGTGTGTGTGTGTGTGTGTGTGTGTGTGTGTGTGAATACATCTAAGTCACTGACGCTGATTCTGAGGCATTTCACCACATTCTCCAACCACTGGTTTCTGTCGTCACATAGCCCACAACCACGAAGTTTACATTCCTCCACACGATTAAGACAAACAGTCAGAGACTTCATCCATTGATGCCATGTTTTATTCTGCTCCCCCCCCCCAAGACTAAACCTAGTTCGCCTAGCATTCCATGATGAAGTAGAAGGAAACTAGGCATCTACTCCATGTCACTCTCAGACGCCTGACTCATCGTTTCCCATGCGAGTTCCACTCGAGGGCTCGGCGCGTGATGTCCCAAAACTGTCTTCTCAATGTATAACCAATCCATCTCCACTTTCTGCTTCTGTTTATTTATTGGGTGATAGGTTCCTCCCCAGTCGGTCCGTTACCAGGCCACACTTCCTCCTTGCTTATTCTTCCTCGCCTTCTCATCTGATCTTCAGTATGCAGAACATAAGGCAGCTGATCATGTATGTCTACAGTTTGTTGGAAATGCTTTCCGTAACGCGACAAGTCTCTCAACCAACAAATAGATGCACTGACTTGATTGAATTAGTATTGAAAATACGGATCGTGTCCACGCTTTATGCTGAGAGCAGTAGATCTTCACATTGATCTCCATAGATTAATGGAGGAAGGACTATCTTGCGGTCTTTCTGATCCTGGCTGCTTCGACGTCCTCATCTGTGCCACCTGTGGTTGAAGCCATGCCGCCTAGGCAGGTGAAAGAGACTACTTCCTTTAGGTTTCTCCCGTTGATGGTGATTGGTGCTTGTTGTTGTTGGTTGGGTACCTTCATCATCTCTATCTTGTCTATGTTCACATGAAGGAAATCCCGTCTTCCTTCGCTGTTTCGCCTCTTTTGTCAACTTGTTAGTTTTTGCCTGTACATCTTCGAGTTTGTGCGACATGAGACATAAATCATCTGCGAAATCAAAATCTTCTAGGATCTTTTCATCGGTCAAACACCGTATACCCCTCTTCTCGCTCCTCACAGTTTGTTGCATGATCCAGTACAGTAGAGACCACCACGACCAGGAAGATCATCGATGATACTACGCAGCAGCCTAGTCTTACCACTGTTTTCCTTTCAAAGGCGTCACTGAGCTTCCCATTGTGAATCACTTGGTAGGTAGCGTCGTCATATAGATGTTGAATGAGGTTGATAGACGTTTGTGGCAGCTACCTGCCAAATTACTTCTCGGTTGACGCAGTCAAAGGTCTTTTCAAAATCGATGAAGTCGAGGTACAGGTACAGTTGACTGTCATTCTATGCTGTGTTCAATGATGATGCGTAGCGCAGCGTTGCAACTCGATCCTCATATAATTTGTACCTCCAGAGGCCAGCCAGCCAGTTCACGTCGTAATTTTGGGTCCAACGCATCTTTTAGTCCTTTCAGGATAATGCAGCTTAATAGTTCGCTTTGGGTGGACAGTGATGGAGCATGATTCCGCTCCAGTTCTGGCAAAGACTTAGGTCTCCCTTATTTGGGAGTTTGACAAGGTAGCCCTCCTTCCAATCAATGAGCAGGTACCATTCCTGCCAAACCCTCTGCAATGATGGTG